GACCCAGCTTTCCTCTGGGCAGCTCCAGCCTGGACCGCACATTGACACCATTAGCAACCAATGACCAGCAAAGTACTGGGGAGTCACTGAAGACAAGAGATGTGTGGAATCAGATACGTTTGAGGAAAATTAACCTGGCAGCTGTGTAGGGCAGACTAAGGGAGAGAAAAAGAAGATGGAGCCCTCAAAAACTGCCCTCAAGAAAGGACCCTCACCTCAGGTCATCTGGCACCAACAACGGGATGAGCTGATGAAGACGAGGCCTTTCGGTTTAGAAGTAACATGAGACGGGGAAAGGTAGTGATCCCAATGGGGATGGCAGAACCAGATTCACAGACGTCTTGACAGGGCTGAAGCAACGTTAAAACCTAACAAGATGAAATTTAACAGAATAAACCAACTCTTCACTTGGGAGAAAAAAAAAAACAAACATTAAAAAGTAAGGAAGGACAGCCATCAGAGAAATGTCGTCACTGTACTCTAAATCAGAATAGAGGCTTGTGAGGTTAGGGCACAGCACACAAGATCACCCTCACTTCTGACACCAACTGCAGAATTCGGGGGTCCCCAAGACCACTCTTGGGTTCAAAAATTCACTAGAAGGACTCAGAACTCACCAAAAGCTGTGAAACTCACTACTATGGTTTATTACAGTGAAAAGCTACAGGTTCAATCAGCCAAGGAAGAGATGCATGGGACAGAGTCCAGAAAAGTTCCACTTGGATCTTCCAGTTCTCTTGTCCTTGTGGAGACATGGACAGTTCAAATATTCCCTGGCAACAATGTGAGACAATACTGCCAACCAGGGAAGCTCACCTGAGCCTTGGTGTCCAGAGTTTTTATTGGGGCTCCATCACCTAGAACTGACTGGCCACCCAGGTGGCTGACCTCAGTCTTTGGCCCTCTGGAGGCTGAGCTATTATCACATGGACCAAAGCCCCCACCTTACCTGGTGTGGCCCCAACCCCCCAGGTAAGCAAAGACACTCTTGTCAGACATGACATTCCAACGGCTTAGAGATTGCCCAGGAACCCAGGGCAAGACCAGACCTCTCTTTGGGTAAGATCAAAGTCTTTACTACACAGGGCTAAGCCGATTATGTTTTGGGTTTTTTTGGAGGAAGATCAGCCCTGAGCTAACATCTGCCAGTCCTCCTCTTTTTGCTGAGGAAGACTGGCCCTGGGCTAACATCCATGCCCACCTTCCTCTACTTTATATGTGGGACGCCTACCACAGCATGGCTTGCCAAACAGTGCCATGTCCGCACCCAGGATCTGAACTGGCAAACCCCAGGCCGCCAAAGTGGAACGTGCACACTTAACCACTGCGCCACCAGGCTGGCCCCCCGATTATGTTTTTAACTTATTTCTATAAGAGGTTACAATCCCACAATTACAAATTACTCTCCTGATAAAAAGTAAGGAAAGATTTCCACCTGACCAGTAAAACACTTCCAGCCACACAACAGAACAACCTACTTTCAGAAAGTCTCCTTGTGGAGAAATCTTTTTATCCATCAAGTATGGGTTTCTGGTTTTCTTGGAGTGAGACAGGCTACATCTTGTCCTTTTCCTAACTTTCTTCCCAGATTTTGGGGGTCCATCTCACCCTTGAGGCTGTGGATTTACTGCTGGTGCTGCCTGTGCGGTTTAAATTTGCCAATTTTCAAAGCAACCAGAAAAGTCTTTTGAGAGTGACGAAAATAAACTACTATGTTTATGGATTTAAAAAATACAGTTAATTAAAATCTATCAAGCACCTGTTTCTCGAAGTTTCTAATATATATTCGAGGCATAACTGCTCACTAAAAAAAAAAAAATCCAAGTCATTTTCCTACTAGATTTAAGAATACAAATGTGTTTTAACATGTCTGGTGACACACCATATGACCTTAAAAATATTTAGTATCAGTGAACAGAAATTTGCAGTTCCTTCATCACACACAACACAGTCTTGACTTACCAACAGATGCTCCCCAAATCTGCCATTAGCCAGCTGTGTGATCTTGGGCTTGTCATTTTAAGACTCCGTTTCTGCTTCTTTTTCCATAAAATAGAAGCGTCGGACCAGACCATTCCTAAGCTTTATCAATTCCTTCGCAATAAAGTAATATTTTATAAACACAAATGAGGACTCCTGAGGCCTGAGGTTGCTACACAAACAAGAAGCCACTTTGTTTCCAATATTTACCTTTTATAACTTAAAGGGAGAAATAAACAATCTTTAGATAAAATATATACAATAACTAAATATTTTTTGAAACATATCAGTAATTCCTTCACAAAACAAACACTTATAGAACGTCTATTATGCACTAATCAGGTATAAATACTTGAAATATTTATCAATATTTTATTTTGTGAATGATTCTGAGCAAAATGTTGCTGAAATGGAGATTTTAGTAACAGTCGGCCCAATAAGCACTAAAAATGATAGGAAATAGAACATGGGGAATTCAGCTTAAGGTTCTATGCCTTCAGAACTCAGTGACTTTCTAAACTGATTTTGTAATTAGGAGGATATTTTTAGCTTATTTTTCATTGGAAGGTCTTATTATACTCATCTTAATATATGTAATTTCACTTGAATATTTTCTGATTTAAAAAAACGAATGAATCTTTTCCCCCGGGTGCAGCAAAGTGTGAAAGAAACAGCTTCCATTTCTTGTTACATCGAATTTAAGGGGTGGTGACACCACGCAAAGCCGTAGGTCCTAGTGACCTTGTGACTGCCCACACAGTGAGCTTCCTGGGACCCCCAATGAAGGATGAGTAAGACATGAGGGTACCCACCCTGGAGGAGCCCATCCTTAGGGTAAGGATGGCCCTATTCACAGAGAATTAGAGTGCCAGGCAATGCTGCTGGTTATACAGGGGAAAGGGCCTGGTGGGGATACCCCAGGGCACCTCGACCCGGAAGGGTGAGGACTTTGCGGGGGCGAGAGGAAGAGTCCTAGCACAGGGAACAGCTCTTGCAAAAGTCCAGAGCCTGGAAAAGTGTGCGGCGAATGAGAAGAGCCGGTGAGGGCCGTGTCCCTGAGGAAGCCAGCAAGGAGCAGGACACCTGGTGAAGAGCTAGTGACAGAGCCAGGATGCTGGCCTTCAGACTCTGGGAGTGGGACTCCAATGCAGGTTTTTAAGCAGAGGAGGGGCAGGAGCAGACCCATAGTTTAGGAAGGGAACAGAGCGAAGGATGGCCTGGGGTGAGTCCAAATGCTGAGGGGGGCGCTGCTTTGAAGGACTTTGGGGATCCAGGGGGCTCGTGAGGCATTGACCTGTGGGGTGACAGGTCGTACAGGAGAAGTTGAGGCCGGCTCTCATGTTCTGCCTGGCTCCTGGTTGGCTGCTGGTGGCGGTGGGGTAACACGAGTGTGCTTGGCAGAGTGTTTAAAAGATGTCCAGGCTGAGATGGCCAGTGAGCAGGTGAAAATGTGCATCTCAGCAGAGGGCTGGAGACACTGAAATGAGTCAAGGCCGAGCAGCGCTTGGCTCGGAAAAAGAGAAGGCCACGTGGTTGTCGCACAAATATTCAGAGGCCTTAAGGGCAAGAGGAGATCAGTCTGTCCACTCAGGCCCCTGGAGGGGAACTAGGGCTAAGGGCAAAGGTTGTGAACTGGATTTCAGTGAAAACGAGCACCTTTTCCTGGAGTCAGAGCTCGGGGAAGATGGGACGGGCTGGGGCCTTGGGAATGCGCCCGCTGATGTCTGGGGAGGGGAGTTCCCTCCAGGCAAAGAGTGCCCTCTTCTAAGCTGCTTTCCTTCCTTTGCCCCCACGTTCAAGACTGCCATGTTCGCAACTGTCTTGTTCAAGACGCTGGCTAAGGAATCGATGAAAGCCAACCTACTAACTAGTAACAGAACCCCTCCCACCAGGAGTATTTGCATCCAAAACCGGGGGATTTCTTCCTTTAAACAAATGCCCCGTGGGTGGAATGTGCAGAGGAAGGGCTTTCCTTTGCTCTGCACTCTACTCCCAACCCCCAGGCATCCTCAGACCCTAACCCTAGGGCCTGGCCCGGGCCCACAGAAGCAGACTGCTGTCCCCATGTGCCCTGGATCCCCAAGGTCCTTCAAAGGGAAGTCCATCAAGGGGAGCAGGGGGCCCGGCCTCAGAAAAGGACACCGGGGAGCATGCCAGTTGTCTTGCTGGATGAAAATCTCCCTGGATTTCCACGTCACACCAGATCACTCATGCTCCATTCGACTCCAGTAACGGATTTTTGCTTGCTTTCTGTATCCGGAAGTAGACTGACCTGGCTAACACGAAGGTGCAGGCCCCAAGAGTCAATGTGACCGGGCAGGGAAATCGGGTGGAGGTTTGGGGGCACTTTGCCTCTCCTCCTGTCGCTCCCCTATACCCATCCCGGGCCGCCAGGGCCTCAAGGTGGCTGAGGGCACCCAGAAGAGGCCTTCGTGTCGCCCCCTCTCCACTGTCAGGAGCGGGAGTGCAGGGGCTCTCTGAGACCCCAGTCTCTGCCTCGGACTCCCTCGGGGCACCTCCAGCGAGGACTCACTCCCCCGAGGTTGGGCCCGAGGCGGCAGAGGCGGGGGTCCCGGCGCCGGTCCTGTGGGGGACCGCAGAGGATGCGCGGCGTGAGCGAGGCAGAGGTTCGAGGGCGCATGGGGCCGAGGGTCCCCCTCGCCCGTACCTTTCAAGTTCGCCCCGCGAGCTGCTGGGGTCCGGCCGCATGGCGAGGAGGGGGCAGGAAGGCGAAGGCGCAGCTCGCCGGTCCCACCGGTCCTGCCTCCGCCCTCTCCCCGGCGGGGCGCGGCCGCGGCGGGGAGGGAGGCGTGGGCAGGGAGGGAGGGCCCGGGGCGCAGTCGGTGCCCTCGGGCCTGGGTCGCGCCCAGCCCCGGCTCTCCCGCCCCGCCGCCGCCCGGCCTCGCCCCCGCCGCGCGCGCCCTGCCGCCTCCCCCGTTGCCGTGGCAACCCCGGGAGCCTCCAGGCGCACGCCCGCCCGCCCGCCCGCCTGCGGGAGCGCTCGGCAGCGGCGGCCGCGGCAGCTCCGGCTCCAGCCGCGCGCGCTGAGACCCCGCTCCGGAGCCCGCTCGTCGCCCCCGGCCCGGCCCTCGGCCCCCAGCACGGCCCCCCACCCGGCCCCAGTGCCCGCCCGGCCGCCGGCCCCCATGGAGCTGCTGGCCGCAGCCTTCAGCGCCGCCTGCGCCGTGGACCACGACAGCTCCACCTCGGAGAGCGACGCGCGCGACTCGGTGGTGGGACACCTGCCCGGCAGGTGAGGACGGGCGGCCGTCCGGACCCCCGCGCGCCGCCCCCGCGCGCCCCTCGCCCCAGCTTGTCTCCCGGGCCGCCGACACCGACCCGCGCGGCCTATCCCCAGCCCCCGGCCCCGCCGCCCGCGGCCCCCGTCGTGCCGGCACCCGGCCTGGGGTGGGGTGCGTCCCCACCCCGGCCTCCGACCCCCCGAGGCCTGCCCCGGGCCGCCCCCTGTGCCCTCTCCCGGGCGCCCTGGGCGCGCGCGTCCCGCTCGGTGCCCCCTCTCCGCGCCGCGTGGCCCTGGGACGGGAGGATCGCGACCCGAAGGGGGCCGGGGGCCGGGTGACAGCGAGCGGCGCGGGGTGCGCAGCGCGGGCTGGGCTCCCGGCCGCGGGACCCGTCGGGGCGGCCGGTCGGCGCCGCGGAGCGGGCAGGGCGCGCCAAGTTTCCGACGGCCGCCGGCGAGCTCTGAAAACATGAAGGTTTGGGCGGGCTGGGGTGGGAATGAATCACTCGGTCGCGCCCTGGTGCTGTGACAAAAAGGGCCTGTGGGGCCCTCCTGGCCGGAGGGGGGGCGGCGGCCACGGGCCCGGGCAGGGTCCAGCTGGCCAGGGCCGCCTGTGCGGACGCCTCTCGCAAGCTGGCCAAGGTGTGTCGTTGCTTAAAAATAACCGGTCCCCGCGCCTCCTTCTCTCTGGCAGCGAGTCGTCCTCCACCCCGGGAAATGGGGCCACGCCCGAGGAGTGCCCGGCCCTCGCTGACAGCCCCACCACGCTCACCGAGGCCCTGCAGATGATTCGCCCCATTCCCGCCGACTCCTGGAGGAACCTCATTGAGCAAATAGGTGGGTGTCCCGGCGGCGGCGCTGCTTCGAGGGGGAAATGCGGCTTCCTGGTGGACTCGGAGCGGCCCCCTGCTCGGGAGATGCTGTTGGGTTTCTGTGAGCGAATGCATCTGCTGTGGCTAAGGCACGTTTTTGACATAGTTGGTTCTAACTGGTTCCATAGGCTAAACTGCCGCCTTTTCGTAGTGCTGTCTAATGAGGCTTTAGCAAGTGGATTTCTATCCTGCTCTCTCCAGAGAGGTCTACCCGCCTAGCCTTTCCTGGGGGAGGGCTCTCTGTCCCCTCGTCCCTTCTGCCTGAGAGACAAGGGTGCGGGGAGAGGGGCGCTGCCCGGCCTGGGAGGGGCCTGGGGAAGACCTGGCAAGAGAGGGGAGCCTGCCAGGGGTGATTCTGGAGACAGCCAGGCTGACTGGTGCTATTCAAGAAGAGGAGGCAGTGGGCGCCTTGCACAGGGGAGGGAAAGGGAAAGTGGAGACGGCTGGGAGCCCCAGAGCCCCCGGGTTGGGAAGGGAGGCCTGGCTTCACCTGCCCTTCCGGGATCAGCGCCTGGAGGTGGGGGGCGCAGCCTGCGCGTGTCCAGCTCCCGCAGAAGCCCCGTGAACGCAGACAGGGAAGTGGGGAGGCGTCCCGAGAACTCCGGCGCTTGCACTGAGAAGTCAAACATTGCCAATGACATCAAACTAGTTCTTCTGTCATCACCAGAGGTGGCGGTGAAAGGATAATTGGAGTTCTGTCCCCAGCTGCTTAGAAAATCGTTTTGTTCTTTAGTGTTGTCAGAGCAGCCGACGGTCTATTCGTTAAAGTAAAAATTGAGGTTTGGGAATTTTCTTCCCTGCGTACATCATTACTGTCCTCCATCCCGAACACTCAGACAGACAGGAAGTGTCCGTAACGGAAGTGGAGCTTCCACTGCCTGGGAGATCCTGCCCGTGGGAGACTCTTGGGCATCCTCCTGTCCCTGGCGGAGGTTTTTCCAAGCTGAAGCCTGCAAGGAGCTGAGCCTTGCTCGCTGAGTGGGTGGAGCACACCCTGCGTTGTTGGGCTGCGTTGACTCCAGGAATTCTGTTCCCGCGGCCCGCTGTGTGTCAGGCCAGGGGGTGGCAGCTCTTCCCCTTGTTTGCTGGGGGAATGGAGAGGGGCTGCTCTGAAAGCCCCTTTCTCCGGGCTCCCTGCCACATGGTCCTTCACCGTGAGGAGGGCCAGCTCTGTCCTGGCCCACGCTGGAAGCCTTGACTTCCGCCCTCCTGAAAGGGATCCTCTTTGGGTAAGATCAGTGTCCTGATGGGAAAGAAATGGGGTGGGTGCAGGGAGCTCAAGGAGAGAGGGGCTCCTGTGTGCGTCATGGGCGTGTGGAGACCCCTCGCCGGAGACGGCAGGACCAGTCGGGCCAGTGGCCTAAGCTCGAAGCCGGGAGTCAGGGGCCCTGAGCTCCGGGACCTGCTGCCCTTGGCCATCAGTTTCCTCCTGTTGGAAACAGCGGAGACTGACCCCCCGAGTCTTCCTCCCGCTGTCCCTGCCACAATGTGCGGATATGATGGCGAACATCTGTTTCTGGCTCCTGGGCTGGATCCAAGGCTAGGTGCTCGAGAGACGTGTTGAATGACAGCACAGAGCTGTGGCTGCCTTCGTCTCACCTCCTTCATGGTAGACTTGAGTGCTGCACTAAGCAGAGTCCTGTGACAGCCCTGCCAGCTCTCAGCTCGAGGAATGAAGTGAATTCTGTGCCAGGTATCAGGAAAGGAGGGCAGGTTCCTAAAGATGCAGTGGAATTCAAGGGGGAAGAAAGAGGAATGAATATAGGCGTTTAGAGACCACTGTGCTGGATTCTGCAGTGGCTCCCACCGAGGCCAGAACAGATTATGCCAGGATAATGTGTGACACGGTCTACAACTGTCGTGACAGACCACAGACCCTGAGACCCTGTGACTGGGGTGTGGGGTTTGTGTGTGGTGCACACGCAAGCTGTTGTTGTCTCTGACACCTAATGAATGCTTGCACATCGAAGGTGCTCACTAAAATATAAACAGATTCCCTGCCCTTTAGCAGTTCCTATTGGAAGGAGTCAAAGACAATAAATTATTCTCTTCGGCAGGTGAGATGTTGAATGACGCCGGGGGCTTTGTCAGGAGGAGCTGGGAGTTCACCGTCTTTTGAGGGCAGCACAGCCAGCCTGGTAGAGATCATTTTAATTCGGAGAGATGGGCACTGAGCCTTCGAATTCTGCATGGATATAATACCATGTGCAGAGTTTTACAGGCAAAGTTAACTCCCATATAAAGTTGTGCTTGCTGAATGTCCAAAACATAAGACAGGAAAACATAATCTATAAACAGAACACTGAGTACAGAAATTTAATCAGATAACACATGGTTCCTCAGGTAAAGCTACTCTATTTCTATTGTAATCTGAATTTTAAGACTAATAAAATTAAGCGGGTTATGAAAAATGATTATGCAGTGTGTCAGATACCTCCTTGTAATCACAGTAACTCCAGGAAAATTGGTGTTTAAATTCGTATTCTAAATCCTTCAGAAAGAAGTATGAAGTTTTGAGAAAATTCTAAAATTACTTGTATTGAGAGTCTTTGGCTGAAAGTAACAGAATATCCAGTAAAAAGTGACCTTAAACAATAGAAATATTCTATCTCAGTTAATGAATCCAGAGGTGAGAAGTTCTGGAGTTGGTTCCTTCAGCCAAGCAATCACCCAGCTCCTTTCCTTCCACCATTCAGAATTCGTATCGCAAGATGGCTGCCACTGCTCCAGGCATCACATCCTCAAGCAGCCATGTGTAAAAGCAAAAATGGGCAGTTTGTCTTCAAGTGTCTATTGGGGAGGGACATCTTTCTGAGAAGCCCTTCTCAAAATGTAAGATAGCCCCTTATTCTCCTTGGCTAGGTTGTGTCACATGCTCATGTCTAAACCCCCCAGTGGCAAGAGGAAGGGAACTCTCCCAGTAGGTTTTGATAGGTCAAAATTCACTCACTTCCCTGAGCACAGAATGGGTCAGCACCCAAACAAAACCCCTCCCCCGCCAGCTGGGAAGAAAGGGTGCGAGGGGATCGAGGAGAGGCAGCCAACAGTGTCTGCCACAAAGAGATTTCAGAAATATTATTTTCAACCCAACTACCCCCACTCCTGATATTTTCATCTCTTTTCAGCATATGTATGACAGCGTGATGTTGGAGATAGTATGTACCAGGATCAGCCAACTGTAGGATACATAAGACATATTTTTGAACCTTCTAAAAGATGCCAAATTAGTGAGACAATTTGGTGAGGCTTGGAAACCATATTTTTAAAAGGTGTTCAATTCAACAAATATTTGAGTTCCTACTATGTGGGAGGCGCTGTGCTAAGCATTGCAAAGTGAATCTAAGTCGACTCGTGGAAACCAGGTTTCTTTAAACCTCTGTAAAAAGCATGGGAGTCACAGGGGAATAATTGGTGTGACGTTGGCAACAGTAATTATATCTTATGTCTATGACTAGACCAATTTACGTAGTGAGGTGAGACCTCTGTCTTCATGGATCTTCCATCTGGATTGCATTGAGCTCAGACTTCCGTTTTCTTTCTCATTCCTTCGTCAAATTAACTCCATGCTATATTCGGCAGGATTGTAACATTGTCAGATCACAGCATCTTAATTTTTTAAAGTAAATGCTGTACTTAACATAAAGGCTTTATAATTTAGCATTGGGGGCATGGGAGGTCAACTAATTTAATCCACATGGTGCATTTATTTGGTTCCTATTTATGAATTTATCCAGCCACGTTCAGGATTTCAAAGTGAGTCTGTTTTCTTTCCTTTCTTTTTCTACTCTTTAGATATATGTAACAATTAGATGAAAAAGGAATAATAGCTAACGTTTGTATTGCACTGTAAGAGAAAGTGCTTGGGGCCGGCCCCGTGGCCTAGTGGTTAAGTTTGGCATGCTCCACTTTGGTGGCCCAGGTTCGGTTCCCTACACCACTCATTGGCAGCCATGCTGTGGCGGCAACCCACATACAAAATAGAGGAGGATTGGCACAGATGTTAGCTCAGGGCCAATCTTCCTCAGAAACAAAAAAGAGAGAGAAAGTGCTTTACAAGTGGTACGTTTATCCCCATTAGAACTTTCCTGGGAAGACCATCTTTGTTTTAGACATAGACTGACTGATGTCAAGGGGCCCTGACTGCTCTCCAGACCAGTATGTCCCACTGCCCACTGGACCTCCCCACCTGGGTACCCTCAGCACCTGGATCTCCCCACCACCCCCATCCCCCAGTCAGACCCTCCTCCTGTGTTCCTGGCCTCCTTGTATGGGGCCACAAGATGGTGTGGCCAAGCTGGTCACCAGAATATCATTCGTGACCCAGCACGAGCCAGTCACCGGCACCCATCTTCTCCTTATCTCTGACCCCTCCATCCCTCTGCCACCACTAATGTTCAGGCCTCCACCACACTCGCCTGGAGAATTGTCACCGCCCCTTTCTTCCCATCAGTGGTCCTCCTGAATTGTAGCCCAGAGCTGCTTGCCTGAGGTCTCTTGACGCCTCCTTCTTGCCTACGGGATAGACTGTCACCTCCATAGCACAGCAGGCAGATAAGACCCCTGAGGTCTGACCCCCTCTCCTCCCAGCCTCACTGCCGGCAGGATTCTCCCCCTTCCCCCCTTCCCCTCTCCCTGGGCCGGGACTCCCCTCACCACAGAAACTTTTCTGCTCCTCTGCCCCGCAGCCGGGATGTCGGAAATGGGCTTGTCCCTATGGAGGTGCCACGTTTCTGCTGATTCACCTGCACCCCCAAATCTCCTCGGAGACTTAGAATGCATTTATTTTGAGTACAATTGGTCAGGGACAGAAGTCTGAAATTGCAGAAGCAAAAAAACGGGAATGTTTCCCATTTGAATCGTAAAGTGGATGAAATATTGGTTTTTCCTTCAAAACGAGAATTTACAAGGGCTCCCGTTTCGAAAATGAATGTACTTGAGTTTTAATAGTGAAGCATTTAAGGCTCTGGAAAGTGTCCTGTTGGGATGTAGAAACATAATTGGGACATTTCCGTCAACTCTGCACACATTGGTTATTAACACATCAAGTTCCAGAGTCTCGTGGTTTGCCAAGGATGTGTGGGAAAAGCCTATATTTGGATTTTGAACCAGTTCAGGGATTTCTTTATTCTCTGTTGGAAAAAACCTTATGCGTGCTGAGCCTTCCCAAGAAATGAAGACGTGGCAGTGGGTCAGTGGCGTGGAGGGTCTGGCTTTCTCTGTATGTTTCTAGGTGGAGCATTTGCCCTTGATAAGAAGGCAAAGCCTGGACTTAGGGATCCAGAAAGATCTTCACCCAAAACGTTTTTCTTGTCTTCGTTACGATTCTCTTTGATTCCAGGGCTCCTGTATCAGGAATACCGAGATAAATCAACGCTCCAAGAAATTGAAACCAGGAGGCAACAGGATGCACAAATACATGCCAATGTCCACGGCTCGCCAGCCGGCCAGGAGACTCCAGAGGAGGAGGAGGAGGAGGAAGAGGAGGAGGAGGAGGAGGAGGAAGAGGAGCCGGCCAGCCCCCCGGAGAGGAGGGCTCTGCCCCAGATCTGCCTGCTCAGTAACCCCCACTCGCGGTTCAACCTCTGGCAGGACCTCCCGGAGATCCAGAGCAGCGGGGTGCTGGAGATCCTCCAGCCCGAGGAGATCAGGCTGCAGGAGGTAACGGCGGCCCCAGCCTGGGAGCTTCGGTTCAGTACAGGGGTTTTACCCCATGGGGCGGGGCTTCCTCCGTGTGCGAGGCTCGGGGCTGGCTCCCCAGAGGAGTTACAGGCGGGGTTTACCCATCTAGAATGTGCAGGAAAATTCACATGATTTCGCAGGCAGCTAAAGATGATACCTAGTACCTTCTGGGACGGCTGGGACGGCTCAACCCCAGTACTGGGTGTTCTCAGCATTGCTACTTTGTTACATAGTAAGGTTGCAGGCTTTGCATCTCTGTTGTTGTTGTTGGGAATTTCCGTGGCCCGTGTGAGTGGTACCGCACTGGCAGGTGCTGAACTTGTTGTGACTGAGATCGCGCCAGTCTGTGGCTTCCTCTTCACTCGCGTCTTACCCTGCAACTTTGTGTTGGAGTCCCTTGAACCTTGGGTGAGTGGGGGCTCTGCAAGAAAACCCTCGGGATGCCCACCCCTCCCGAAACGGTGCAGAAATCTGGGGCTTGTGTCTCCCCGCATCATTTGATGGTCCGGGCTGACTTTGCTGGTCAAGAGGCTGAGGCAGTATCATTGATTTGCCTGATGGTTTGTTGCTGGCAGGGAGAAATAATCAATTAAAAATGAACAGTAACTGGGGCCGCCTGGTAGCGCTGTGGTTAAGTTCACACGTTCCACTTCCGAGGCCCGGGATTTGCAGGTTTGGATCCCAGGTCTGGACTGCTTGGCAAGCCATGTGGTGGCAGGTATCCCAGATACAAAGTAGAGGAAGGTGGGCACGGATGTTAGCTCAGGGCCAATCTTCCTCAGCAAAAAGAGGAGGATTAGTAGCAGATGTTAGCTCAGGGCTAATCTTCCTGAGGAAAAAAAAAAAGGAACAGTAACGGGGGCTGGCTCTGTGGCATAGTGGTTAAGTTCTCATGCTCCACTTTGGCAGCCCTGGGTTCACAGATTTGGATCCCGGGTGCGGACTGACACACCGCTCATCAAGCCATGCTGTGGTGGCATCCCACATACAAGATAGAGGAAGATGGGCACAGATGTTAGCTCAGCAACCAATCTTCCTCACCACAAAGAAACAAAACAAACAAAAAACAGTAACAGAAATGAGAAGCTAAGAAATCTAGGTGCTCATTTTAGTTGAACAAAGATTATTTGGGCATAGAAGGAAAATCTGTGGTTTGGAAAGACAAGAGTATGGTCAACAGGAAGGAGAGAGAAGGGCAAGAGAAATGTGAATTTGCAAGTGAGTGTCCATTGTGGAATTTAAAAAGAGGGGAAAATGAAGAGATTTGGGGTTTTTTATCTCGTTCGATCCAATTCCATCATCCCTCCCCTCTCGGGCTCCCTCTTGCCCTCACCCCCCTCAATCACATGCTCCTTCAAGCCCGTGCTTGAACTCACTCCTTGTCGTACTCGTGACTCCAGACGTTCTGTCCTTCTGTATCTGCTGTTACTCCTGGGCTACTGTCTAGAGAGATGTCGCTCTTGTTTATCTAAAAGGCAGAGCTATAAACCACACAGTTAATGAGCAGGACCGAGAAGAGTTCCCGACCAGGGTCACCTAACCCACATCGGGTTGTACGATGCAGTTGCCACCAGGGAAAGTCTTGATAAAGCTTGACCTTGAACGGCCACCTGGGGTTCACCTGCGTCCTGCCCGGTAGGTAGAATCAGGAGAAATTGGTTTAAACTTTGACATCCTTTGTGACTCCTGGGCAGTGGTTTGTAAATGGCTGCATCAAGAGGTTTTCAGGAACCTTCTGATGTAAATAATGCCTAATTATCAGCTCCTGATGTAGCTTCTCCCAGTTTCCCACTGAAATACTCAGGAGGAGACCTTAAGGAAGCCTCTTGCTCCCACCAGAAACGAAGACGCAGAGTCGGTCCTCCGCTGAGGCAGATGGAGCCTGACCGAGAAGAGCTAGGCAGGCTTTGCCACTGAAAGCCACCGTGCAGAAGATGCCGGAAGTCATGGCGAAATCCCCCTGTGGTTGGCCATCCCACCTGTCAGAGACCAGGTCCCCCCAGCCACGGACAGGGCCGTCATCCCTAATGTGGACTTTCATATAAATGGAATTATACAAGACTCTTTTGCATTTGGCTTCTTTCACACAGTATTATCACCATGGGGCCTTTCTTTTACTCCTCAGAACAAGGAAAAGAGTCCAGTTTCTGGGGGGGGAATACTTATTTTTTTGCCATGATAATTAGAGGAATAGAGGTTTAAAATACTTCGGAAAGCTTAGAGATAAACTGGAGTAGAACTTAAAACGTGGTATAAACCTTCTACAACATAAGCAAAGCTGAAAACAGAGCCTGTGTAATAAAAGGGAACTAAACAGTAAAAAAGCACAAAAATGGGGCTGGCCCCATAGTGGTTAGGTTTGCATGCTCTGCTTCAGCAGCCCGGGGTTTGCAAGTTTGGATCCCAAGTGTGGACCTAGCACCGCTTGTCAAGCCATGCTGTGGTGGTGTCCCACATAAAATAGAGGAAGATTAGCACAGATGTTAGCTCAGGGCCACTTTTCCTCACCAAAAAAAAAAAAAAAAGTGCCGATCTGATTTTGGAGTTTAGACAGTTAGGAAGACTCTTAAGTGCAAAAGTCTTACAGATTTTTATGTATCCCCCCATATCTGACACTTGTCTTATTCAACAGCAGTTTGATTGGGGTTTTGGTTTTTAGCAACTTGCCTTTACTGGACTCTTAGAGTTTTCAGCTCAGTTTTCATAAAAACAACTCCCCTTGCACTGAAAATTCTTTGGTTTTTGTCGTTAAAGGACGTAATTGCATAGCAAGTACAACCGGCTTGAATAAGTTTCAGGATGAGCACAAGGTTCTCACAGGTGGGGAGAGGAGTGTGCGGGTGGCCAGGAGAGCAGCCGGCTGCCCCGACCCGATCCTCAGAGCCTCGCGCAGCTTTGCAGGGAACAGTGCAGGCGAGCGTCGGTCGCTGGAGCTTGGTTAGGAGGGTTTTCTCTGTGTGCATCTTCGTGCTGGCGTGTGAGGCCGTAGCTGTGGATACAGGCGTGGATGTGGCATCGCCGGTCAGAAGTGAAGGGCGTTCTAAATGGGGGTGGATACTGCCACAGTGCCATTCGAAAAGGCAGCACAAATTTCACACCGCTCCAGCAGTGAGAGAAAGCCCGTGTCAGGCACCCTCCCTGGCCCGTTAGCAAACTTCTTCATCCATCACTCTGACCTGTGAGATGAGACATCATATCTTGTTTTAACCTGCCCCGTCCTTGATGACTAGTAAATTGAGCATCTTGTCATATGCTCATTGGCTGTTTCCACTTCTTGGTCTATGAGTGGCCTGTTCATATCCTTTGCCCTTTTTTTCTGTTGCGTTGTTTATATTTATCTTCTTGAGTGATAGCAGCTTTTTATACATTCTGGATATTAAATTTTCAAATGTTTTCTCCCGCAGTAGAGTAGAGGGGAAGCAATGTATCATGGTGATTGTGCACCCAGGCACTGGAGCCCAGCTGCCTAGGTGTAGTCCCAGTTCTGCTACTTCTTAGCTGTGTGACCTTGGGCAAGTAACTTAACTTCTCTGTGCCTCCATCGCCTTGTCTGTAAAGTTAGGGTAATCACGTCACAGGGCTGTGAAGATTAAATGCGTTAATACAGATAAAGAGCTGGTGACCGGCGGACTTGATTGAGCACATACTTGCCTTCTTGCTTTGTTTGCGGAATCTTTTGTCACATAAAAATCTTTTTTTCATCTTTATAGAAAGTCTGGCGGTCTTTTTATGTTTTTAAACCTAATCTTCTGGCCGTTGTGTCTTACGATTCGGAAGGGCATTCCCAAGAGGTACACCTGACAATGAAAAGGTCAGTAGTAGAAACTATTATGAACGACAAAAGAGAGCAGAATGTCAGGAAGAGCAGAAGATGCCACACACGCTACACTGTTTTTGTACGAGTGGGTATAACGGGGTTGGAGGGGATCTGAAAAAAATCATGAGGTTGATTTAAAATGCTTTTACTGAACTTTGTACTCTCGAAACAGCACTGCCCACTGTGGCAGCCACCGGCCACTGTGGCCATGGAACGCTTGACACATGGCTAGTCCTAACTGAGATGGGTCGTAGGTGTAAGACACACTCCAAAGTTTGAAGACTTAGGACAAAGGAAAAGAAGGTAAACTATCTCATTAATAATTCATTAGTAATTTTTACATTAGTTGCATGTTGATATGAATATTTTGGATATATTGGATTAAATTACATATATTAAAATTTCTCAGTTTCTTTTTACCTTTTTTAATGTGGTGACTACAAAATTTTAAAATGTATTTGAGACTCACATTATATTTCTGCTGGACAGCACTGGACTAAAGAGAAGCAATCGTTTATTTTCCAGTGTCCATAAACACCACCAAAAAAGTGGTTGTATATTAAGCCATAATAAAAAGTTCAGTAAATATTTATTAAAATTGTACAGGCCATAATCTCTCACTACAGTGCAGCGAAACCAGAAAATAAATTTAAACAGCATAAAAACCTCCAACAGAAATGTTGAAAATGCTCCTAACCTTTGTGATCGGAAAACAAATTTTATAATTGCAGATTATTCAAAGATAATGATGAGGATACTACATTTTTAAACATATGGAATGCTGCCGAAGCCACATTTGGACAAAAATTCACAACCTTCCATGCTTTAATTATTAAATAAGGAATAAATGCAAAATTAAATGAGCTAAGATGTCAGCTTGAGACGTTAAGGGGAAAACACACTCCTAAGGGAAAGCAGATAGGGTAGAGATGCAGAAAGATATGTACAAGTGGTGATGAGATCATTTTCTAGGAAAATATAAGCTACCAAAAATTGACTCAAAAATAAAAATTTTTAAAACACCAGAATATGCCAGGAACCAAAAAAAAAATCATCTACAAAGAGCTATTGCACCCGAGGTGACTGAGTTGTGCCAAATGGTCAAACCACAGAAGAGTCCCATGTTACTTAGAATGTTCTAGAACAGCGCTTTTCAGCAGATCTTTTTTCGATGATGGAATTGTTCTATATCTGCACCTCCAATAGTCACTAGCCACATATGGCTATTGAGCACTTGAAATGTGGCTAGTGCAACTGAGGAACGAATGTTTAATTCTACTTAATTTAAACTAACTTAAATTTAAATAGCCACGTGTCGCTACTGCACTGGCCAGTGCAAGTCTGGAAGAGACATCTTCAAACTTTCCTTAAAGGGCCACGCAGTCAATATTTTAGTCTTTGCAGACCGCATGGCCTCTCTCAAACCTCTCGGCACGCCATTGTAATGTGACAGCAACAAATAGACAACATGTAAAGGAAAGGCTAGAGCTGTGTCCCGATAAAACATTATTTACGGTTACAAGTGGCCAGCCCATGGGCCATAGCTTGCGGACCCCTAGTCTTGAGCATGGAAAAGAGGGAGATAAGCAAATTGTTTGAAGGTAATACAATATTAGTAACCAAATCTGATAATTTGGAGCACATATACATTAAAACAAAATCCACAATTAGACTTCAACCCTCCTCTCTCAGTAATCAGTAGGAGACATAAAATCGATAAAGATATAGAAGGAGTGAACGCCATCAACCAGCTGGGACTAATTACTGTTTACAGAACACTCAACACATTTCTTCAAGTGCACGTGGGACGTTCACCAAGATAGACCATAACACACTTTAACATCTTTAAGAGAATTGAAATCCTACAAAGTATGCTCTCGGTCCGTAACGGAATTAAGCTAGAAATCAATGACATAAAGATTCCAAACCCTTGGAAATTAAAGCGTTATTTCTAAATAATCCCTGAGTTGGAAAGAAGTCTCAGAGGATGTTAGAAATAAATTAACTGTCCCTATTTACAGATGACACGATTGTCTACATAGAAATCTCGAGGAATCTATAAAAAGACTCAAGAACTAATAATAATCATACACACTGGCTAAAGAAAGAGAAAAGTTAAAATACAATATACCAAGTGCCGGTGTGAGTGTGGAACAACTAGGCTCTCACACATTGCTGGTGGGATGATGAAAGGGCACAGCGGCTCTGAAGAAGAGTTGTCAGTTTCTTATCAAGTGAAATATACACTTGCCATCCACCCAGCAATCCCAGTGTTTACCCAGAGCAGTGTCTCCACAGCAGCGGTATTGGCATGTGGGGTGGATCGTGCTTCCTTGTGGGGGCTCCCCTGTGCAGTGTAGGAGGTTTAGCAGCATCCCTGGCCGCTGCTACTAGATGCCGGGAGCTCCCCTACACCCAGTTGTGCCCCAAAAATGTCTCCAGACCTAGCTGATGTCCCCTGGGGAGCAAAAATAGTTCCTGGTGGAGAACCACTGCCCTAGAGAAGTTCAGATTCCTACAAAAACCTGCACATGAATGTTGACAGCAGCTCTATCCAGAATTGCCCAAAACTGGACACAACCCAAATGTCCTTTGTCAGATAGATAAGCAGAGTCTGGAACATCCGTACAGTGGCATGCTACTCAGTAATAAAAAGAAATGCACAATTGATACACACAACTTAGATGGATCTCAAGGGCATTTTGCTGAGTGAAAGAAATCAGAAAGGTTGCAAACTATTCCATTTATATTCCATTTATTCCATTTCTATGACGTTCTGAACAAGACAAAGCTATAGTGACAGAGCATCTCGATGGTTGCCCGGGCGAGGGACGGAGGAGGATGTGGCTAGAACAGGATAGCACAGGGAGGATTTTTGGAGTGATGGAAATGTTGTGTGTCCTGGTTGTTGTGTTGGTTACGAGAATCTGTGCGTGTGTTAAAATTCATAGAACTGTACACCCCCGAAAAAGGCAATTTTACTGTTTGTTAATTGTAAAAAGTAAAACATTGTAAAAAGGGTTGAATGTCTACATTTTGCTCAGCCCAACAAAATCAGTACTCGTCTCCTCCCCACCAAGCAAAACAAGGCATAAATCTGTCTCATTGTGAATTAAGGCAAAAAGTTGTGTAAAACAGGGGCTGGCCTGGTGGCGCAGCAGTTAAGTTCATGCGCTCTGCTTCGGCGGCCCAGGGTTCGCTGGTTTGGATCCCAGGCGTGGACCTGGCACCGTTTGTCAAGCCATGCTGAGGCAGGTGTCCCACAGAAAGTAGAGGAAGATGGGCACGGATGTTAACTCGGCCACTCTTCCTCAGCAAAAAGAGGAGGATTGGCAGTAGATGTTAGCTCAGGGCTAATTTTCCTCAAAAAAAAAAATTGCATAAAACGTGAGAAAATCAAATCTGGAGATATATTAAAAGAATAACATACATTGAGCACATATAAATTAATGCAAAGATGGTTAATGTTTGGGATCAAAATTTATCACATTGATAGGCCAGAGGAGAAAAATACTGTGATCTTCAAAGAGGTTGAAAAGGGCAGTAGTACAACTGTTACCATGTAAACAAAACTCAGAAAGATGGTTTCTGAAATTTATAAAGACTGTCTCAGATCCCTAACCAACATCATACTTAATGAAGAATTGTTGGTGGCAGTAAAGATGGGACAACGATGCTTGCCAACACTGATCTTGCTTTGGAAGCTCCAGCCCATGCAACAAGACAAGAAAAGGAATAGGAGATAAAGCCATAAAGAAGGAAAGTCAAAACCATCCTTATTTGACAATGGCGACTGCCTACTTAAAAAACCCAAGTTAGTCAAAAACACTGGCTCTAATAAGGCAGTTCAGGGAGGTGGTGGGTTATAAGATAAACATGCAAAGATTAGTTGATTTTTTGTACATCAGCAAGACCCAGGTTAAAGCAATTAGCAAGCTCTATCAATGAGAAAAAGGTGAGCACCCCAAAGGAAAATGAGCAAACTAGTTCTCAGAAAAAGTTCAAATGGCCATGGATTAAATGAAAAGAGGAAAAAAGTCAGACTCACTGGTAATCAAAGAGTTTCCAAATTAACAACATTGAGGCACAGGCTTTTCAAAATGGCAAAGACTTTTAAATATATATACATTTAAAACCTAGTCTGGGGGGATTTCTAAATGAGCACTCTGGAACCCAGCTGATAGGAAGAGTATAGCAATATTTGTAACAAAACTCGTACAAGAATCTGTTTGTACACTGCCTAGTGTTTCTATTCCTAGAGATCAATCTTGAAAAATAATCAGAGATGTGCACACTTATTTATTAGGATGTCATTCCAGCAAAAATTAGGGGAAGAAGTGAGGAAGAAACCTACGTGCCCAACGATGGAGGAATTGTTTAGTAGGCTCGTGTACGGCTATGCAAAGACACAACCACTAAACAACATGTTTTCAAAGAATGAAATAGGTGAATATTCATGACACATTACATTTTTAAAAGGCAAGATACAACATTACATCTATAGTAGAACGGGCATAGTAAATAGGGATATTTTATTTCCTTTATACATTTTTGTAATTTCCAATCAATCAGATAAAGATATTTAAATAAATTAGGATAAGTTAATGAATTTCAATAAATACAGTCACGTGCAGTAGTGAATAACATGGACACACGGGCTTCAATATGTGTTGCTCTGAGTTTTCGTAGTCTGACTTTTCATATTTATTCGAAGGAGCTTAATGTGAGTTTCTGTTTTGTGAGTACCTGGCAGTGGACGCTATCCTGAGATCTTCGGATTTTGTGTTCCAAATGAGCGATCGTCTGCATTGGGTCATCCTTCCATTTGTCATTGGGTCATCTTTCCATTTACCAAAGCAAGCCAGGCGACTTCCACTGCCAGCTCAATCTGTTGTTGGAACATCTCTTTTTCTTTGCAAAAGCAGCAGCTCGCAATGAACCACTGTCCACCCGAGGAAAATACCCCAAAGTGATGGCCTTTTGGTAGGTCCAAATCTTCATCAATCATGGAAGAGTCAGGATTTAAGAACAAAATTGTATATTTTTCTCCTCTTTAAGTAAAAATGAGGTAGCTGGGATCGGAAAGTGTTGTCCTAGATGTCATGCAGGATTTTCTTGGTTTAGTGTTTTTTTAACTTATTCTGAAGCTCTTGGTTCCCGCTCTCCTCTTTGGAATGGTTCTTGAGTTATTGATTGAGAACACAATGGTCTGGGAAAATAATTAGACCCATATTCAAATTACAAAGTTAGCAAGGAGGCAGTGTAGACAGGGGAGGGTGTTCAAAGGGGCGGCAGGGAGGACCCCTCTGGAAGGTGGTGGAGCATGGAATTGTCCTGAAAGGAGAATAAAAAAGCAAGAAGGAGGGACTGTGGAGGGGTGGGGACAGTCACTACTGGTGACAAAACAACAGAGACTACCTGATTCTCGCCGCACCTGACACGGGTGTCGTGAGAAATAAAGGAGAACCCGGAGGGGCCGTCCCCCGCACGGCACCTGGAGCAGCCTTGCCTGCGGCTGGCATGGGTTGTGTCCCCAGCATGTGCCAGGAGCCCTTCTAGGCAAAGGGGATAGAAAAAGACAGACTCGCCACCATCCTGCTCCTGGTGAGCTGGGTGTGCAGAGCTCGGAAAATGAGCTGGGAATATTTTGAGCATCTCCACGGAAACAGGGACACACGTATGCTCATATGGGGCGGCGCAGCCCCGGCATGCCCAGACACGACTTCAGCTTCGTCCTGCGGGGAGGGAGAAGGGAGGGGACCCAGCCATCGCCCTGTGCCGACCTTTCCAGGGATCCGTCAAGTTATGGTGTAACTCAGTCTGAGTCTGCTCAGCCTCTGACATCAGAGTTGTATTTTTGTCGTTTTTCAACCCGTTTTCACAAGGTATAACGTCAAGGTATTTCCATTTTTTTCCACAACAATACTGTTTCAGAAGGAAATTACTTAAGGTTTTTCATAGGATGTGCCTCTATCAAAAAATTAAATCGCAATTGTTATTTTATTTGCCAACTTTCATTGCATCATGTATTTGTCCCTTTAGGATAAACCCTAACAATTCAGCAAATTAGTCCCAAATTGAGAGGGGGCAGGGATTTTTGCCCCGTGGTTTAAGACAGACAATGGCCATCACACAAAACATCACATATCTCCTGCTCGATTTGATTTCGAAAGCAAGCACCTATAACTAATTTCACAAAGTGACAATGTTAGCGTTTATTGTTTTTAAAATGAATCTTTTGGGTAAATAATTCACACAACTGATATAAAGTTCAGAAGAGCAAACAGATTTGCAATGAAAGAAAGTTCCCGCCACCCGTGATTCTCACGGCCATTGCGCGCGCGCGCGCGCGCGTGTGTGTGTGTGTGTGTGTGTGTATGTGTGACACAAATGGTAAATTCCCATGCACATTGTATAAATCTTTCCATATCGGCCTAAGCAGGTGCCCCATTCTTCATCTTTTTTCTTTTTTCTTTTTGGTGGCTTTATAGGGCTCCATTGTTTATGACATTCCGTAATTTACATAACCAGTCCCCTGTTGATGGATATTTGCAGTTGGAAATGTTGTGTGTCAAGGATGTTCGTTGCAGCATTGTTTATAACACAGAAGGCTGATATCTGTACAATGGGATACTATGGGAATTGTTAAGTGGAATTGTTGGGTTAAAGGCTGCATGTTTTTTTAAGTTTCGAGAAGATACTGCCAAATGGTCTTTGCACTCCAGCCACATATGAGTGTGCACGTTCCCCATCCCCAATATGGGGCATCATCCAACACTTTTTTTTTTTTTTTTTTGAGAATGATTAGCCCTGAGCTAACATCTGCTGCCAATCGTCCTCTTTTTGCTGAGGAAGACTGGCCCTGAGCTAACATCCATGCCCATCTGCCTCTACTTTATACGTGGGACACCTGTGACAGCATGGCTTGCCAAGCGGTGCCACGTCCGCACCCAGGATCCGAACCAGCGAACCCCCGGCCGCCAAAGCGGAACGTGTGCGCTTAACCACTGCGCCACCAGGCCGGCCCTCATCCAACACTTTTATCCCAACCAACGTCCTAGATGATAAATGCTATCTCCTGTGGTTTTCATTTGCATTTCTCTTGCTGTGAGTGAGGCTGAGCATCTTTTCAGCCATGTGTCTTTTTAAAGTTACACTTATTTTAGTATGTCCTTTTTTTCATGAATTATCTCATTAACCAGGTCATCTTGAAGAAACTTAACAGTTGGCTCTCATGACATGTGTGAGCTGGCTGGGGCTTGGGTTCGGTCTGCTGGTGGTGTGGGGGCCTCCCCCAGACCCCCCAGCACCTGCGCACAAGCTCAAATTTCATTTGTGACCCCTCGTCCCGCAGCAACACTGGGAGGTAGTTGTCGTCACCCCATGTGACAGCTGAGGCCCTGAGGCCCCGTGGACTCACTCAGCCTTGGCCTCGCTTGCGTTTCCCGCGTGGACTAGAGAGCTCACTGCAGCGGATCAGCACCCAGGCTCTGAAATCCCACTTCATCCTCGTTATTCGGGGAAGACGTGCTCTAGGGGCTTCTTAACGCAAAGCTTTCTAGCATCACTTCCTTCCCCCCTACGGCCTGTGGGGTTTGAATTACTGTACCAGCTGCAGAGGCGAGGCAGAGCTCGATGCTAATTCTCCCAGCGTGGCAGCTGCCAGCAGAAAAATGACTCTGAGAGCCCCAGAGGAGAGAGCAGGCGCTGCCTTTGGTCGAAGGCTGCCCCTTCCCCTGGCTCTGCCGACACCCCCAGAGGAGAGAGGAGACAGTGGTCGCTCCTGGACAGACAGCCTGCCTGAGCGACTGGGGCGGCATCAGGCATTTGGGGGCCTCTGGCTGGTCTTTGGGGTCTGTGGGGTCCACAGGGGCTGAGCATTGTGAGCACAAGGCCCAGCTTTCAGCAGATTCAGATGGCCATGACTCCCAGCAGCACATGGGGGGCACAGAGCCTGGACTGTGGGGTCTGAACCAAAGTGTCAACGGGCAATGTCCCACAGCCTCCAAGGCAGCCTGAGCTGGAGGAGGGACACCCCAAACCCTTGGCATTCTGGCCCAGCTTTCTCTCCGCCCCCTCGCCCCTCCAGGCAGAAGCAAGCGCTCCAACAGCAAAGTCAGCCCTAGCAGGTGCCCTGAAGCTGAGGACTCAGGGTGACCATGTGGAAGAAAAGTGTGTGCAGAGGCTTTGGGGCTGCGGGCCCCCGCCCTGTGCACCAGGGGTCCTCAGACTCTGCCGAGCCCCAGAATGACCTGGGTGTCTTGGTAAAAGACGGGAGATACGTGGGTCCGGGAGAAGCCTGGGAATCTGCATTTTTTCACAAATCCCTGCGATCAGGGGACCAGGCTGGCTTTTTTTTTTCTTTTTGCCTGTCTAACTCGTATCAGTTCTTTGACTCAGCCCCTTCCAGAAGCCTTCCCTGGCTCTGCATCTCTCCCCACTGCCAGTTCGAGGCCCCCTCCCCGGTTTCCCACTTCACTGTGAGCATCGCCACTGAGCTGTAATTGACTGCGCAAGCCGCATCCTCAGCGGTGTATCTGTGTCCCTCTGTGTCCCCAGCATCGAGCCCTGCCACTTTCTGGAGGTGGCTCGGGGCACATGTTTGTGAGCTGAGAAGGGCTGGACAGCATCACGGACCCTGGTCCCCCAGCACTGTGATCTCCTGAGCTGGTGGTTTCCAGTGGGTTTTCAGGTTTTGGTCATCTCGGGATCCCCAGTGCCCGGCAGCACCCAGCTCTTAGTTGGTGCTCAGTAAACATTCAGAGCACAGAAGTTTGGGTGCCTGCTGCACCGGGGGGCCAAGACTTTTAGGGAGCCATCCAGGATAGGAGATGGCATCGGACATCCAGCCCAGCAGGAACCAGGCAAGAAGGATGAACGACAGATGCCGCCAGCAGTGCCTTGTCGATGGACGCAGACTGCCCCGGAGGAGGAGAGGCTGGGGAGCTGGGCCTCTGGTGGAAGTTACGAGTCGGTGGGTATTCCTAACCTGCCTGTATGATCGCCTGACCGGCCGCCAGGACTGGTTCTCTTGAGTGGTAGCTGAGAGGATTTCCCTTTTAACAAACGTATTTTTAAGCACCTACTTGAAAGCACCATGTAAAGCTAAAGAGATGATTAAGAACCTGGAAAGAGCCTGTATTCCAGTGTTGGGGGGTGGGGAGGGCCTTCTGCATCACAGCAGACCGACCAGCGAGGGGCTGGGGCAGCGGCCTGGCGCCACGCGCGGGAAAACCTTGGCATTTGTGTGGAAGGCCGTCTTGTGGCAGAGTGGTCGAGGCACAGAGCCCTGGGGTCGGAAGGATGGGAGTACAAACCTTAGCTCTGTGGCTCACAGTCCGTGTGGCCTCAGCACTCTCTTTCCACAGTGAGGACAGTCGAGCAACCTCCAGGGTAGTGAGGACCGAGTCAGGTGACACGTTGGAAGCATTACGCCAGACACATCTTAAGTATTCAGTGAATGGCAGCTCTTATTGCTATTTGCACCCTGGTACCATTTATCTCTGAAAACCCTGCATAGACAAGTGGAGAGGACAAGGACATTCACGGCCACCATTTACCAATTAAGTGCCACACCCGTCGATGTGTCTCGGACAGGAATGGAATGACTAGGAGAGAAATGCAGCCGAGGGTTTCCTGGACTCAGAGAATGAGGCTCCAGTCTGGCAGAGGGGCAGCGGGGAACGGCCAGCACTTCAAGCAAAACAGCCTTTCTCTCCGCGGTGCAGCTGTTTTGGAAGCAGCACACGCTGTTTATGGAACATCAGTAAGCAGTCGTCAGTCTGGTCTGAGTGTCCCCAGGGCCGCGGTGCCTGCGGCAGAGAACGTCTCATTTCTCTCGACTCTGGCCCTCGGCCTCGTTTACAGCAGTTTGGAAGAACGTCTGACTGTGCCTTGGTGAGAGGCGGGTGTCCTGCATCAGGAGGGGCCTTCTGCACTCACCCCTCAGCCCACGGTCTGGTCAGAGGGGCCGTGAAGGTGGCGTGGACTGACGTCTGGCCTGGGGGATGGAAGGGGACAGAGTTCTTGGAGGCGGATGGGAAATCTGGAGGAGCCTCAGCCAGCCCAGTTGCCACGACAGAACGCCTCAGGCTGGGAGCTGAACAACAGACGTTTGCTTCCCACGGCTCTGGAGGCTGGGAGGCTGAGATCGGGGGCAGCAGGGTTGGTGTCTGGTGAGGACTCCCTCCGTGGCTGGCAGACGGCCGTCTTCTCACTGTGACCTCCTGTGGCCTCTCCTCTGTGCACGTGCATCTCTCGTGTGCCTTCCTCTTCCTAAAAGGACACCATCCTGTTGGAGTAGGGCCCCACTGTATGACCTCGTTTAACCTTAATTACCTCTTCCAAGGCCCCGTCTCCGAATGCAGACACATTGCGGGTTAGGGCGTCAACATAGGAATTTTGAGGGACACAGTTCAATCCATAACAGGGGATAAAATGCAGGCTACCTGAGAAGATTGTTCCGTCCCCTTCGTCCACTCAGATGGGAGCTCAGACCAGGCACCGTGGACAGTCCCTCCTGAGAAGGAGCCTCCTGGACACAGTGGACGACAACGGCAGCAGAGGGAAGTGGCGGGGCAGCTCCAGTCCACAGAGGTGGCTCTGGTGACTCAGGCCACACGACACCGTGGTGATAAACAGAAGGTTATGGCAGCAGAGACAGCTGTGGCTCATTGACACCAAAGTCAAGGAAGCCGAGAACAATCCAAACCAGGGTGGGCCGTGCCGCGTGGGGGCTCCACGGCGAGTCCTGATCCATGGGAGACAGCGTGGGTGAGGAGCCAGACGGGGAATCGTTCAGCCCTGAGCTCTGCTGGGGCTGGAACGACGAAGGACTGACATGATGGGAGGGCGGGAGCGGGGGTGGACAGGTGAGGGGGCTCACCCAGCTGCACAGTGAGGACCCACGTCGGACAATGAAGTACCACAAGCAGAATCGTCTTAGATCACAGGAAATTGTGGATCAGTAAACTGAGCTGTTATAGTTTGCATTCTTTGTGTCTTTGGGGCTGGTGTCTTGCCTTCCTCGCTCAGAAGCATGCTGTGTTTCCTCCAGACTTTTCTTGGGGTCCCTGCTTCCTCTACCACCCCCCTTGCTGATGAGTCAGGTCCAGGAGGGGCCTAACTCTGGGCCACTCCAGTCCCGAGGCCACGTGAGGTCACTGAACCCGCCAGCACCCTAGCCTGCAATGCGCTGGGGGAGGGTCCTGGCTCTGCGTGTCTATGGAGTGTGTTCCCTCCAGTGGGCGGCAGTGCTGGCTGGGGTCTGCAGTCGTGGACGTCTCTGGACTCCCCCGGGGAGGGGGAGATGCTCACCAGTGGAAGCTAACCCCCGGCAGCTTGTCCGAGACTGCGTGGTGACTGTCCCAGTGGTTTCTCTGGTATGTTGTTTCCTTTCTTTGGAGAAAAGTCTAAGTGTACTGAGAAATATATGACCTGGTGCTTACGGAGCGTGGTGGGGTGAACTGTGGGAAGACAGGCTTGGCTTCTCGGCCACAGGCCACTTTGGGAAGTGGCCAAAACAGGAGCTCAGGAGCAGCGACTCTCCCTGGACTCGTGAAGGTGCAGCCGTGTGGTTCTGGCCCAGACGGTGGTCAGTGGGGATGGACATACAAATGTAGATGGGAGCCTGTCATTCCTACATGACACCCTCCGGTGGTCTGGCTGCCTCCCCCACTCTCCCCCTCCCACTCTGCCACCCCATCCTCCGCCCACACCAGGTGCCCACATCCCTTCTCTGCACAGGCGTTTGAGCCCCAGGCAAGGGGCTTTCTTGTCAAACTCTGGGACTCAGCCTCAATGTCACCTCCTGGAACAGCCCTCCTGGCCGGAGCTGCATCCCGTGAAGCGCAGCCCTATGAAGGCAGCGCCCAGATGCCAGGTGGATAATGATCCCAGTCATCCACAAGGCGCTTTGAGACGGGCCGGCTCCAGGCTGAGCACTTTCTGCTGGGGACTGTGGCTCCCGTTCTGCACACATGGAAACTGAAGGTTAGCGGGACGAAGCAGCTCTCGTTCATGGCAGACATCTGGCTGGCGCCCAGGCTGAAGCCTTGACCGCGTGCTGCTCAGCTGCCCGTGGTGGACGCCAGGCCCATCACAGCCTCGCCGACTGCACGGCCATCTGGCCTGACCCCTCGGAAGACACATCTGGATTGACCGGATCCTCCCTTCCGCAAAGAACCCAGGCGGGAGCGGGCTTAGCCCTAGCGCTGTGGGAAAGGCCGAGACACGCAACCTGATTACGGGCAGATGGGGTGGAGCGCCCCGGCAGACCAGCTGTGATTCATGAAATGTGGGTCCCTCTGAGTCCCCCGAGGATGACGATCCTGTGTGAGCCCAGCACCAGGGCGCTTGCGCAGCCCCATGGTAGCAGGGAGGGGCCTTAGCCAGCCCCCCGCCGAGCAGCGCTGGGATGTAGGTGCTGTTTATCAAGGAGGGATTTCCTGTGGAAGTAACCCCCACACTCACTCTCACACACACTCACACACGCATATACACACTCACACTCTCACACAATCACCTACCCCTATACATTCACACACTCACGTCTGCACGCTCACACTCACATATACACTCGTACACTCATTCATATATACACACTCATACACATTCATATATACATGCTCATATACTCAGTCACAGTCTCACACACACGCACACACTCACACACACATCCTCCCGTCTGCTCCGCAGCACCCCTCACCCCTGCCCGGGTGCCTTCCGCTCCGTCTGCTGTCCCTGCTCCTCCAGGAGGTGAGCTCTGCGGTGGTGGCAGGGAGTTTCCATGGTCACCCCGAGGGCCTGGTGGCCTAGGCCAGCGCTCGGCAAACGTTTGTGGAACGAACGCAACAGATGGATAAGTGAATGAATGAACGAGTAGGGCCTGGATCCCTGTCGGCTCCACACTGCCAGGCAAAGGCTCGAGTGACAGAGTGAAAACAATATTGATGAGGAAAAGACAACCATATTGATGTGGCAAATAATTTGACGTGTAAAATGAAGACTTTCTGGAAAATGAAACTTCCCAGATGACTAACCACCTGCCAGCGGGGCGAGGGGGTGCGTGCTGTGGGGGACAGGCTCAGCCAGGACCAGTTAGGGGCATGTCAGCAGCGGAAAGCTCACCTGTCCCCACCTAGCTGCCCCTGATCCCTTGTTCCCCCAGAGATCAGGACAAAGATGCCATCAGCTCAGGGGACACCGAGCAGGGTGGCAGGTCCCTGCACAGTCCCAGGCACACCTAACAGTGGTCACTCAGGGAGACGTGGTCTACTGGACATGCCTGTCTCCTCGGGGCTGCATTTGACGTGCGGTACTTTTTTTCTCTCTCGGTACCTGTTACGCTCATCCGTATCAGCTGGGGGTGGGGTGTGCAGGTTTAGTTATATTTGCTTAGAACTTGCGAGCTGTAATGGCTTGACATTTTCTTAAGAAACTTAAATTTAGCAGCAGGAACTTGATTCCATTTCAGCATCTGTAACAGAGAGGCTTCTGGAAACTTCCTGCCCGTTGGAGTCTCCGTCTTGCCAGGCAGGGCTGGGGTAGACGCAGACAGCACGAGGGTGGGTGGGTCCTTGCTCTGTGCTGGGGCCGCTGCTCTGCCATTAGTGAGGCCGGTGCGATGTGCTTTGCATGGCTTCGTATTTTTGAGTAGATCATCAGCCGTGACTTGGGGACAATTACGGAGAGGCCACCAGCTCATTTCAGAGCCTCATCTTATTGTCACTGTCTTGAGTGAGGTACAGGCGCGAGGGGACCAGGCGGCTTCTCCCTGCTGTTGGTGGCCCAGGGTCTCTAATTGGTGGGCCACCCCCGGAGTGATGTCCCTGTGAACTTTCTCACCCGTGCTGGGCAGCCTCATGCAATTGGGTGCCCCCGACTTACCAAAATGTCACTTATTGTAAAGCGGTTTACCAGGCCAGCTGTTTGTCCAAGCTTTGCGTGGAAGCAGCAGAGTGGCTGCGCGGCAGGGGCCTGCAGACACCATTTCACCCCAGCTGTGCCTGCGTCTGACACAGCAGGGGTGGGGTAGTGGCAGAGCCCAGAACTCAGAAAAATTGGGTTGAATCTCTGCACTTCCACCATCCAGTGGCGTGACTTTGGGGCATTACCTAACCTCTGTATCTGTTCCCTCTTGGTGAAGTGGGAGCTTCTGTGTGTCCTTCCTTCCTGTGAGGGTTAAATGAGACGGAGCCTCGTGTGTTTGGAGCCACGCGAGCCCCTCCCTTCCTCCTCCCCTTCACTCTCTCCCTTCCCATCTCCTCTCCTTCCTAACGCCTGAAGCTCAGCTTTCATTGCCGGAGCCTGGAGTCCTGGATCAGGGTTCTGACCCACGGGGAGGGTGGAAGAGCCGGGACCCAAAGGGAGTGAGATGTGGGCTGGGCAGGACACTGCGGGAGGGACCCAAGCCCCTGTGCTCATCACTGCTCTGTCTTTCCATCCCTCTGTCTGTCTGTTTCCTGGGGCTGACGTCTCAAAGGACCACAAACTGGGGGCTTAAAGCAACAGGAATTTATTCTCACCCAGTTGTAGAGCCCAGAAGCCTGACATCAAGGTGTCGGCAGGGCCACGCTCTCCCGAAGGCTCCGGGGAATCCTCGGGCCTTTTGCAGCTTCCTGCGGCTCCAGGCCTTCCTTGACTTGCGGCTACACCCCTCCCGTCTGTGTCACGTCTCCCTCCACCTCTCTCTTAAAAAGACACCCGTCCCTGGGTTTAGAGCCGGTCCTAACCCCAGAGGCTCTCCTGACCTTGACATCCTTAACTACATCTGGAAAAACCCTTTTTCCAAATAAGGTCACATTCACAGGTGCCTTAAGTGAGGATGTCGACACAGCTTTTGGGGGGTCTACAATTCACACCACGACGCTGTCCCTTCTGGGCAGCCACTGTGGAACCTGAGCCCGCCCTTGGTGGAGGAGAGGGGGGGTGATGGGGGAGGAAGGTGAGGGGTCCCAGGGTGGTCTCAGGAGGGGCTGTGATCCGTTGTCTGTGCTTCACAGGATGATGCTCCAGAGGACCGAGCTTGGCTTAGTTTTGTTGGTTTCTAGGCTCCACAGTCAGGGAATAATCACAATATGGGATAAAGCTGCCTCCAAAAAGTGTGTTAGAGTATGGATTTCTTTCTCTCTTTTCCAAAATGAAATTGCCTTACCGATTACATGATGAGATCAGACCACGAAAGAAGTAAGACAGGCTCATTTTTCAATTTTCAGACAATTTAAAGGGTAAAAAAGGAAAGAGTAACAGTCATCCTCAAATTCCACCCCATGCCGATGCCTGTGGTCAACATGGTGGCCCATTTCCTTCCAGATATCTTTCTGGGCATGTGGAAGGGGAGTCCCTCTCCTGATGACTTACACGCCCACCCTGCACCAGGAAACACACCCGGCTCACCCTTAGCCGCTGTCAGGGCTCCTTTTGTTTTGCCTTGTTCGTGTCTCGGACATTAGGCTGCCTCCAGTTTCACCACAGTCAGCCACGAGAGCTTCCCCTCCAAGGGTGTGGCCGCTGGACCTGTCACCAACGTCCGGAAGCCCCTTCCTGCAGGCACCCTTCCCAACACAGGCCTCGGCATGCATCTTTCTTGACTTTTCAAACCATTGCCAAGCCTCCCTTTGCGTCTCTGTCTGAGAATGGGGCAGGCACCCTCCTGGAGGGTGAGTCCTTGGTGGTGACGGCTGCTGTGCCCCATGTCCCCGACGCAGGCCATGTTCGAGTTGGTCACCTCCGAGGCATCCTACTACAAAAGCCTGAGCCTGCTCGTGTCCCACTTCATGGAGAACGAGCGGCTGAAGAAGATGCTGCACCCGTCCGAGGCGCACATCCTCTTCTCCAATGTCCTGGACGTCATGGCCGTCAGCGAGCGGTGAGCCACCCACTCAGGGCCCTCTGGGGCCTGGCTTCCAGAACCTTCTCTCCTCACCTGGGGCACAGCTGAAGCGGGTGGCGAGTGCTCATTACACTGGCTTCTCTACTTTTTTTGTTTGGAATTTTCTATGATAAGATGTAAGTAAATATGTAAACCCAAACATCTACCACCTCTCCCAGTGGGGTAGCCAGTCACGTCCCCCTGGATAGGCCTGCTATCTGCAGGTCCCTTCCCGCCAGCACAAGGGCTCCGTGTGTCGGGCAGTCAGGCTGGTCTGTGGTGAGGCTCACGACCGGGTCCCGGATGTCCATGTAAGCGGTTCTTTATCCCAACGTCATCAAGCCGTGGCTTGGTGAGTGCAGGGCCCCGAGACCCCCTGGGGGCCGGTGCAGAGCATGGTCCGGGATTCGTGCTCTGTCCTCCAGTTCGATGGCGTGCGCCACAGCTCGTGGCCGTGCTTACTAGAACTGTGCTTTTGTTTTGCCCCTATGAAGGATGAGATGAGCTTAAGTGGCGGAGGAAAAGACTTCTGTTAATTGACTCTTGCAAAGAAGAAATGAATTCCAACCGTCTTGTTAGGACAAAAGATCCGTTTATCGTTTTCACTGGAGGCTGTAGAGTTTTGCAGCTCAAAGTGCAAAGCTCAGCTTTTGGAGCAGCTGCTCCAGCCTTGTGAGTTCAGATGTGAAACTGAGGTGCGGCAGAGCAGGGGCCCTTCCCCAGCAGTAGGAGCCTCTCCACCCCCGTGGGGTGCACCCTGGGAGCTGCTGGGTGGGTCCCTCCTCCACACGGACAGCCCACCTTTCTGTTCGCAGTCTGCCACCTCCTTGTGGCAGCCCCGCCCGGTGGGCTGCAGAGGAGAGAGCTGACTGAGACCAGAGCGGCCTCGGAGACCCCTTGGCCTCTGTTGCTTTACCCTCACTGGGGGAGAGCTGTCTTTTTATTTGCCTATTTATCTTTTATTATGGAAAATTCCAAGCATGCAGAAGTAGAGACACCAGTGTAAGGAGCCCACGCTTCAGCATCAAGGTTCACCCACATCCGCCACCCACGGGATCCTTCTGAAGCAACCCCCCACCGTCATTTCATTTCATCTGTAAACACATCAGTAGGTATCTAAAAGATAAGGTCTCCCTCTGTTTTAAAAAGACTCCTAGCGCTATTATCCACCCAAAAAACTGAACAAATAATTCCTTGACATGACCAAATGTGCCGCCCGTGCTGGGATCTCATTGTGTCCTGTTTGTCGGTTTGTCTGAGCCAGGCCCCTCGGTGGGGATGCATCCTGAGTCTCCCCACCCAGGCACCCTGAACCCGACCCCTGCCTCCCGCAGGTTCCTCCTGGAGCTGGAGCGCCGGATGGAGGAGAACATTGTCATCTCGGATGTGTGCGACATCGTGCACCATTACGCAGCCAACCACTTCTCCGTCTATATCACCTACGTCAGCAACCAGACATACCAGGAGCGGACCTACAAGCAGCTGCTGTGAGTGTGCCCAGGCCGCGGGGCCGTGACCTGGCACAGCCAAGGGCGTGGGGGGGGCGGTCCTTGGACCTCTGCTTTCCCAGGGTGGTATGCAAGCCCAGCACATTCCAGGGCTTTCGGTGTCACTCGAGAAATGTTGACCCCAGGACAGTCAGCCACGGCTCCCACGGGTCCTGTGTGCAGGACGGCCATGCAGAGCTCTGTGAGGTTTAGAAAAGAGAGTCTGAGGCCGAGAGGGTAACATCTCAAGGCCCAGGACGTCAGAAAGCGGTTTGAACTGGAGACAAAGGCAAGAATGGGGCGAGCGGTAGTCTTTTTGCTGGTTATCCAGCAACGCCCCAGAATTTCTTGCTCGTCTGCCCACGTGGTAAACTTAATTGGGGTTTCGATTGCTGAGATAATTTCTCATCAACTTGCCTCTTTCGAATTCTTCACGTTTCTGTGCCACGCTTCGACGACAGTGTAACCAGTGAGGTATTCTTAGCCGACTCGGGAGCCCCAGCAGACTCCCCGAGCCTCACGTCTAAACGTTACACTTCGCTGGGCCTTTCCGTCAAGACGCGTTGTTAACTGTGGACGTTTTAAAGCTCGAGTCTTCGGGGGTTTGTGTATTTTATGTTTCATTGAAAATTGAGATTTGAGGGAATCAGGATGCCATTTTTGAGGACAAACATTGAGAAGACGAGCATGCAGGAGAATCAGAATCGAGATATTCCAGAGGGGGCGGGCCCCGCGAGTGTAGACCGTCTGGGCCTGGGGAAAGGGCAGAGTGCTGTGACCCTGATGACGCACAGTCGGTGGCCTGGGTCCGATCCCCCACAGTCATTCCCCGGAGCCCTCGTCCCTGTGGACCCGGCCCCCTGCCGAGTTGGGCTGCACACGAGATGCCTGCCTGGCAGGAGTAGCTCAGGTTCTCCCTCTGTCACCGCCAGCGTGCTGCCTGTTCCCGTCCCTCCGCGGGTTCACCTTGCCGCGGTGTCCTGCTGGGTAAATCATTGACTGTGTGTCCGATTCATAGTCTTGGGCACGCAAGGAATCCTTGCCTCCCGCACACGACATATTCGGCTAAGTCTCCATGGGCCAGGCGTGTGAAGCCATGATGGCTATGTGACTTGGACACGATCAGTTAATTTTCCAGAAAAAAGAAGAGATCAGCGTGTTTTCCATGCCCGTGGGCTGTCTGGGTCTTCTGAGGCTCTGGATGGGGAGGGAGCGCCCCCATTCGTGCCGCCTGCGAGCCAGAGACCCACTCTCACGTCTGTGTCCCCAGCCAGGAGAAGGCAGCCTTCCGGGAGCTGATTGCGCAGCTGGAGCTCGACCCCAAGTGCAGGGGGCTGCCCCTCTCCTCTTTCCTCATCCTGCCTTTCCAGAGGATCACGCGCCTCAAGCTCTTGGTCCAGGTACCGGCCTCTCCCCCTAGCCATGCACCCCAGACTTGGGCATGCTTCTGCTGCCGCAGACCGTTCCCTTTGCTCATTCCCCGTCTCTGCTAGCTTTCTAGGAAGTCCATTTGTTCCACAAATCCTAAATAAGCTTCCACTGTGTGCCAAGCGGTACGGGACCCAGCCCCTGCTCCCAGGGAGCCACTTTCTGAGGGTGGAGATTGACAAACAGACACGGCCCGGAAGTGGTCATGACTGCGAGGACAGTGAAACAGTGTGACACAACAGGGGGTGAATGCCTAGCCACTGCCAGTTGGGGGACAGGAGACGCTCTTGAACGAGTGACAATTAAGCTAAGACTTGGCTGTTAGGGAAGAGCCATTCAGGTGACAGGGGACTGCTTGTGCAAAGGTCCTGGGGCAGCTGGAAGGTGAGCAGTGAGCTGGGGGAACATGACGGAAGGGAGTGAGTGTGGAGACGTGGGCAGAGACCAACCAGAGGGCCTACAGGGCTGATATGACACAGGCTCTATCCTCAGTGTGATGGGAGGCACCTGGCCTGACTGACATTTGTAAGAGCTCACAGTGGCTGCCCTGTGGAGAGAGACAGGCGGGAGAGCAAGAGTGAAGTGAGGGAGGGTTAGGAAGCAATTCGAGAAAAAAAGATGGCTTGGCAGGGCCTAGGGGGCAGATCCTGGAGGAAAATCAGTGACCTGAGACGTGGACTTGCCACTGTGGAGTGAGAGGGAAGGAAAGGAATCTTCTAGCTCGAGCGACTCAGGAGATGCTGCCGTCTCCCAAGGTGGGGTGACCGGGTCGGGGCTGTCAGGGTTTGAGCTTGAACTGCCTGAGTTTGAGATGACTTTGAGCAGTTGGCCATCCAGGTGTAGAGTTAAAGGGGGCAGTCAGGGCGGGAACTCTGGGCGTCGAGGTGGCAGTTAATCCGAGAGACCTCCCAGGAAAGAGAAAGGGCTCCCGACACCCGGCCCTGGGACGCCATCCCAAGAAGGAACAGCAGTGAGGGAGGACGCGGACTCAGGGAGCTGGGGTCAGGTGGCCTGGAGAGGATGAGATTTCCTGAAAGGGGGGCTCCAAGGAGCCACAGACCCCTGTGCCTGCCGCATGCTGGTGGGCGTGTTCACCCCCGTCCTGAGCGGAGGGAACCCACCAAGCAGATGAAGTGGATGGTGTGGACCCACTGTGGCTCTGAGGGGAATGAGCTGAGATGGTGACCTGTGAGCCATAGTTAGAGGAGGTCAGAGGTCAGGCAGGTGGGAGACCAAAGGCCGTGGGGAGAAGCAGCGTGGTGGGGAGGAGAGGTCGGAGCCGCCCCAGGAGGAAGGGGCTCATGGCCAGAGACCAAAGAAACTGGTGTCGGAAGAAGCCACTCCCGGGGTGGCAGGTGAGAGCACTGTGGGAACACAGCGAGGGCGACCCCATGTCACAGGATGCTGGGGAATGAAGGAGTCACGGGTGAATTTTGTTTTTAACTTGGAAAAACTGAATCAGAAGATAGTCACGTTTCCTAATGATGCAGAGAGAAAACGTTTTAAGAAATTTTATAGGAAAAGAGCATATATGGACATACAAAAATCTAACTTTTGTCTGATGACAACCAACAAAGCAAAGGTCAAGACCTACCTTAACGTTGTCATGAGGAAAACAGTGGAACGGGGGTGGGGGGAGCCCGGGCGGGCTGGGGGGCTGCCAGGGAAGGTTCAGAGGAAGCGTGTTTGGGGGGGAAGCCGGGGTGAGGGCCTTCCAGGGAGAAATGCCAGTCATTGCATAAGGTGGGGTACAGGGGCCCCCAGAGAGGCAGCTGGCATGGGGGGCACGTGCACCATCCCATCTGAGGCCACGAGCAGGACCCACCTAGTTGGATGGGAGCTTCATTCCAATGGGAAAAGGTGGAGCCTGAGCCTGCTCATGAGAGATAGATTTGGGAGTAAGGGGACCGTTACCGACAGGGTTTGGTGGCCCCACGTCGGTGAGGGAGGCCCCAGGAGGGGCTGAGATGACCCTGGGTCTCTGACGTGGCAGCGGGGTAGGGCGAGACAGGCAGTGGGAGGGGTCTAGGTCCTGTCTGGAGCCCAGGAGAGAGGTGCTGGAGACGTTTGTGGGGCAGCCATCGCACGCGGCAGGTGGAGGCGGGTGGGTTGTGCTCAGATGCACCCAAACCTCCTTACGGGACAAAAGCAGATCAGAAAATCTGGGCCCGGTGAGGACGGCTAGGCAGAGACCGTGTGCAGTCTGGAGGGTGAGGCAGACTTGCAATTTACAGACAGAGGCAAGATGAGCATCATTTTCTGTTAATTCAAGAAAATGGAACCATTAGAAAAAAGACATTTTTATCAATAAGAACGGAGTTAACAAAGCCTCGGGGTCATTGTGACTTGCCTTCAACTGACGATCCCAGAGGACAGGGTGGGGAAGCCCCTGGTGCCCACCGTGAGCGTTGGGCTCCCCCTGGGGACAGGGCTGGCCCTGGGCATCCCTGCCTGCTCCACCAGCACATGGTGGCCTCCTCTGCTTTGACCTGCATTGAACTTGGTCCCCATGGTTAATCCTCTTGGGAGGCTTTGACTCCTGGCGCGCATTTTAGAGCCAGGCAAGGCTTTGGGTCAGGATGCTCAGCCCTCGGCCCGGCTGAGGGTTCTCCTGCCCTCTGTCCGTCACCTGGTCGGGGTTTTTGTACATGGATGTCACAGCCACGTGAGGCTGTTAGGACCGGTGCAGCAAGGAGGCCACCACTGCAAGGCAGGGTGGAGAGGGGAGGAGAGGCTGTTCGTGACCAATATTAATGCAGGCTTTCCCTGCGCTCAGAACATCCTGAAGAGAGTGGAAGAGAGGTCTGAGCGCGAATGCACCGCCTTGGACGCTCACAAAGAACTGGAACTGGTGAGTCGTGCTTCTTTCTTGCTTCCCGATGACCTGCTTTCCTCATCTGGACCCGCCTTCCTGCTTCTGCTCCCTCGTGTGTCAGTGTGTCTTTGGGAAATGCAAAATCGTTTTACTGTTTACTTTTGCAATCCAGAAAAGTCACTGGGTCTAAAACATACGTCGGTGTGGCCTGAGCAGGGTGCAATGTCCTCATTCTCCACTCCGGGCTGTTGGTGTGCCCGGGGTGGAGGAGGCAGCTGCCGGGCACTCTGTACCCGTGTTGACCTCTGCTGCTGCCCTCAGGCTGGTCTCTCTCATCAGCTGCTCACCACAGGCGTCTGGGGCGCTCCAGAGAGCCCACGCTTGTCCTTGCCTGTTTCTGGTGTCTTCCCACCTGTGACACCTGCTGACGCTGGCTCTGGCCGTCCCTGTGCCCTGACACAGCCTGCCCCATGCATTTCTCCTCCTCCGTGCCTCTGCCCTTCTCTCGGGCGGCCCCTCCCCTCTCTCTGTGGAAGGACACACTGGCCCTGCCAAGCCCATCTCCGCGCCTGGTCCTCGGAGAGAAGCGTTCCTCCTGAAAGTCCCCTGCAGAGTAGGGGTCATGCAGGAGGGGTCAGAGAATGTGTCTGTTCTCAGTGCTGGGCTAACGTGGATCCTTCTGTCTTAAAGCACTGGCTCGTGTGTTTGGCTCCTGGTGTCAGCTGGAGCTGAGAGCCGGCTCCTGGCAGCTGTGCGAGGGCGATGTTGTCGTGCTAGTGATCCGTGATGGACGGGAGCCTGGTGCTCTCGTTCCGGCAGCAGCAGCTTAGTAAAAGGACTAGGCCCGTGGGCGTCTGATGGTGGGTCTAAGCCACGTGGAGCCAAGAGGACTTCTTAAGTCATTTTCCCCCGGCCTCTCCTCATGTCCGTTACTCAGACCAGTTGGCCACCAAAATCCTTCTGGCACCCTTTGAATACTGGGGGGAAACAGCGCTCCCGTCATAGCCTCGTGGGGAAAGGCTGGAGCCTCGAGCCGGCTGGTCAGGGAGGGCCAGTGACTGGGAGTGGGGCAGCATCTTTGGGCCGTCTGCCCACCCCCGGAACTCACATATCTGATCCGACGGGAATCCATTCTGGCCCCCACCTGGCAGCTGGCCACACTGAGCCCCAGAAGGCGAGTCCAGTGATGCCACGGCCTGGGAGAGGCCCACATGCTCCAAGGGCTTTTCCTGTGGTCAGCTGGGGCCAGGCGAACACTTTCTATTCCTTAAGTTCTTTTCCACCATCGTCTCTCTTTTTTTCTCCTTGTAATGAAAGTGTTCTCTTGTTTTTCATAGTTTACTTTTTAAAAAAAAATAAAGGTGGGTTTTTTCTAATGTATAAAAGTAATTGCTGCTCAATTCCAAAAAAAAAAAAAACACAAAGTGCTCGTAAGTAAAAAGATGCTGGTAAAGATCAGTTATCCCACACCCCCTGCTGACGTGCTGGGGCGTGCCCTTCCAGACCTCTTTCTAAACAGACACCTGCACACACAACTGTATTCTTTGCAAAAAGGGATTGTGGTTTATAAGCCAGCTTTGCTCTCCATTCTAGTGCATGCAAAATTATTGCAATTTTTAATGATTTCATAGAACAGGGTTATACAGATATATTAGCATCAGTCCCAGTTGGTGGACATTTAGGTTGGTGACAGTTTTCCTCATTCTAAGCTACACTGCCAGGAACATCCTTGTGCAGACATCTTTGGGCACCGTCCTCATGCACGACTGCTGAGTGCCTGCCGGGGCCGGGCTCTGTTCTAAACACCTGTGATCCGGTGTGGAATGTTGGTTTTTCCACATGAGTCCCCAGAAGTCCCAGTTAATGCGATTTATTGGGCCTCTCGGTACGTGGGCTGCCTCCAGGAAGGTGGGGAATCTGCTCTCCCCTACAGCGGGTGACAGGGCCCATGTCCCCACAGCTCGGCCAGCCTGGAGCCTTGTCTGCCTGCCTCTTCCAATCTGACAGATGGGAAAGGACATCTAATTGTTTCAATTCACTTTCTAGGTGATGCGAGGGGTCGGCATCCTCTTTTATGTTCCCTGGGGTTTACTTCCAAGTGAGGACAAGGCCACTAACTTTCTCCACCAGAACCGAGAGCCATACCTAACAGCCTGACAGGTTTTCCAACTGCCCTTTTTTCCAGAAGGTTCTGGAGAAAGGAGCTGCTGTCCTTTTGAGACTGGCCAGTCTCAGCTGTGGGCACAGTGTCGGGTCCCAGTGGTTGTTTAGCCCTTTGGGACCTGAGTGGACAGAAGGAAGTGGCCAGTGACAGCTGGCTGCCGGTGGCCTGACGTGTCCTCCTTCGTGTCCCAGGTGGTAAAATCATGCAACGAGGGCGTCAGGAAAATGAGCCGCACGGAGCAGATGATCAGCATTCAGAAGAAGATGGAGTTTAAGATCAAGGTGAGCCTGCTCCCGTCCACCTGTCCTGGCCCAGCCCAGCCGGCTGGAGCATTGGTCACTGGCCAGGCCTGCTGAATGCCACCCTTGGGTCTCAGTGCAGTGTCACGTCCACCGAGGCCCCGCCTGTCCCGGTCACCAGGCTCCATCACACCGGCCTAGACTATCTCCCTAGAGACTGTGGGCAGGGACCCGGGAGCCGCCTGCCCGAGTCTGGATCCTGCTCTCATTTACTGGCTGTGTGACCTTGAGCATGAAGTACATGACAGGGACCGTTCCAGGGACTCTCCAGTCTGGGGGATTTGAAAATCTTCTCCCCCAACTTTACCTAAAGGTTCAGGCATCAGTGAGCCCGCAGGGCCGTACGGCCTGGGTTTCTGGTCACCCTGGGTGTGGGAGCCAAGCCCCAATCGAGGATGCAGACGTGGCCTTCTGGGCCCCCCATGGAGCTCCTCCTGCCAGGCTGCCCGCCCTTGAGCCCCAGAGTGGGGACCCCAGACTGGGCCTCTTGGCCCCGTGGTACCCAGTTCTCTCCTCTCCCTGTGAACCCAACCCCTCCCCTGATTCTGCATCACACAGGCCGAGCGTGGTGAGGGGATGACGACACACACACAGAGGCGCCCACACCCACGCACATGTGTGCACAGACACATACAGTACACATGGATACGCTTAGACACATATACACAGCAGCACAGTGAGGGCCGCGGGGGAGCCTCTGGGAGGCGCGTGGAGGGCCACGCCGTCTGACACTGCCCCCCCCCGCCCCCCGCCCAGTCGGTGCCCATCATCTCCCACTCCCGCTGGCTGCTGAAGCAGGGCGAGCTGCAGCAGATGTCAGGCCCCAAGACATCCCGGACCCTGCGGACCAAGAAGCTCTTCCAGGATATTTACCTCTTCCTCTTCAACGACCTGCTGGTGATCTGCCGGCAGATCCCGGGGTGAGCTGGCCTGAGCGGGGCATCGGCGGTTGGCGGCCGGCACGGGGAGGGCGGCATGGAGAGGACAGGGTTATCTGTGGCCGGGGGTCGGACGGCAGGGTGGCGGGAGAGAGGTCGGGCTTTGATTGGGGTTTAAAGGGCTGCTCCATTCTTGTCCAGCTTTGGGCCTTTGGGCAAGCTTATTTAAAGCTCCTGAGCCTCAGTTTCCCCTCCTGTTGAGCGAGGGTTTCACTCCTTGGATATGGGGAGCCCAGCTCAGTGCATGCACTGTCGGAGCTCAGTAGAGGGGTGACTGCAACATCGTTGGTGCTAGTCCCGTGTCCACTGGCCACACCAAGGGAGGGGTTCAGGTGGGGGGCTTCCAGAAGGAGGTGAGGAGTGGCCAGAGCAGTGGGGTCAGTCCTGCTGGCTGGCTGGGGTTGGGGGCGGATCCCCCGGAACCCCCGGGTCTCCTTGGGACTCACACGCCTGCCCGGCCACCCTTGGTCCCCAGAGACAAGTACCAGGTGTTTGACTCGGCCCCACGGGGCCTGCTCCGCGTGGAGGAGCTGGAGGACCAGGGCCAGACGCTGGCTAACGTGTTCATCCTGCGGCTGCTCGAGAATGCCGATGACCGGGAGGCCACCTACATGCTGAAGGCATCCTCACAGTGAGTGCCCAGGGCCACCCGCACCCTGTGACCCCCACCTGAGGCGCTCCGAGTCTCCTTCCAGGTGGAGCCGGCTCCAGGGCTCCGCACCCACTGTCCTTCCTGCCCCCAGACCCTGCAGGGAGTTAGGGTCCAAGTGTGGGGCTGTTGGGGGGGTGGCTGCACTTGCTGGGGGTGCACGTGTGCACACGTGTGCATGTATGTGTGCACGTGTGTGCGTGTGCACGTGTGTGTCTTCCCTCTGGGCCTCAGACTCTAGCTGGGCCCCATGAGATGTAGAACCCTTGGGCCATGCTTACTGGTGAGCCCCTATTGCTGTGTGGCCTCAGGGCCACCTCATCACCTCTCTGAGCAGCCAGGCCACCTACCCTGCAGCCCAGCCTCTGAGAGGAACAGACGAGATGGGTGTGGGGAGAGGCTTTGTGGCCGTGGGGCCCAGCACCTGAAATACAGGGGCTCTATGTGCAGACCAGGCCCCCCCAGACTCACAGGTGTTGCCCTCCCCATCTCCATCCAGTTCTCAACGCCTGGGGCAGGTGGGGAGGCATGTCCGCCTTCCCCAGTGTACACTTCCCACAGGCAGTGGCTTCAGGGCAGCCGGCCTGCACTCTGTTGAGGTGTCAAGGGGGGCTGGCCCTCACCAACAGACTTTAAAGCTGGGGAGACTATATAGGGCTGCCCCTCTGTGCGTCCCCGCCGGATTCTGGGCACTCTCCTGCCGTAGCCCCAGGCGGGGCTCAGGACCCAGTGGCCAGCTCGGTGGTGGCTGTGGCTCCACGGTTGAACATGTGTCCTCTCCCAATGTCCCAGGAGCGAGATGAAGCGGTGGATGACCTCGCTGGCCCCCAACCGGAGAACCAAGTTTGTGTCCTTCACGTCCCGGCTGCTGGGTAAGTGGTCCGGTGGGCAGGGGGCACCTGCTGGGCGGGGCAGCCAAGGCCGTGGTGGCATCAGGTCCTTGCATCCACCCGAAGGGCTGGGCTTCCAGGCCAGTGTCCCAGAGGCCCGCGTGGCCTCCGGGAAGCTGCTGGGCCTGCCTGAGGGTCCTCTCTACAAGTGCCAGCTCAGTAGCCGATAGAGGACATGGGCGTAGCCTGAGCTTGGCGAACATTTGGAGGGTTAATGAAGAAATAAAAGTCACTGGGTCTTAAGTGACAGCTACCGAGTGGAAACCAAGAGGGATTTGGGCCCAGATCATCATTTCTTTGCAGCCACACCCTCCCCCTCGCAGGAGCCATTTGGCGGATGCTGTGGAGTCTTGCGTTGCTCCTCAGACGGGCAACGCGTCCCTGCTCACTGCCGGGGTGTCGAGGGTTTGCCTGCGCACCGGGCAGGGCAGGTGACACAGTGATGAGGGCATGCCACCTCCCTCTCCCCTCCCCCAGACTGCCCCCAGGTCCAGTGTGTGCACCCGTACGTGGCCCAGCAGCCAGATGAACTGACGCTGGAGCTGGCCGACATCCTGAACATCCTGGAGAAGACTGAGGATGGTGAGGCCCGGGGCTGGCGCATCTCCCGCTCGGGGCCCCCGGGATGCCCAGTGCCTCTGCTGTCCTCTCCTGGAGCTCCAAGGTCTGCCCTCCCCCTTAGCACTAGGCCCGAGCGCCCAGCTCCACGTCCCCTTCACCTCGTGCCACCCTGGCCTGGGCCCACCAAGCACAAAGGGAGGCGTGATGGCCGGGAACACCCTGACCCTGACCCTGGACTTGCAACAAGCTTCCAGGTGAGCCTGTGACCACCAGGCTCAGAGCCCCGTGTGGGCCAAGCAGCCACCCACCCAGCCCCTGCCACCCCTGCTGTGGGCATCAGTGCCAAACGAGGTTCGCCCCCCAACCCCCAAAAATTGACCCCTTATCTCTACATCAATTGCTCCTAATCAGAATCCCCCCAAAATGCCCCAAGCATCTCCCTCCCCCACCCCCTCCTCTCCTTCAAGGTCCTGGCTGGAAGGCCTCAGGCTGGTACCTCCAGGGCAGGCCGTTTCCGCTGTTCCCAAATCCCAGGGGCTTGCCCTGCACTGGAAGAGCAGGGGCCTCTCCCCTCCCCTCGGAGGAATACACAGCCTGTCCCCCTTCCCGCGTGGCCTGCAGAGTGGGCCCTCAGACCCTGGTCTTAGCCCTGCCCTGGGACCTGTCAGTGACACGGTGATCTCAGGGGGAGGGAAGGAGGGCCAGGGCCCTCTGCTGGTGTCGGCCAGTTGATGATGGCCACCTTCAGCTGACCCCCCAGCTCTCCAGGGAGGGCTGCCCAAAAAGAGGGTGGTGGTGAGCTTCCAGGCTGGGTAACCAAGTGGTCAGCTCCCACCCGCACCAGCGCCCTGGGACCCGGCCCTTGGGGTCTCCTGGCCTCATCCAGGATTGCTGAGGGCTTGGGAATGGGTTCCGAAGGCAATGCATTTAGAGCACGCTTGTTCTGTCATGGCCTGTGCACACACACTATGCTCCTGAGGAGGGCGTCCGGGTGGCATGTGGGGTACAAACCGGGTCTGAGCATCTCCGGCAGGAGTTTTCGGAGCAGGGCCCTCTGGAGAGGTCGGCTGGCCCTCCCGCGCCTCCCTCGCTCTGCTCCCCACCCAGACGGGAGCCCCGGCCTGCAGGGAGGCCCAGCCTGCACCCCTGCGAGAGTGCCTGACCCCCGTCCCCTCCCCACGCAGGGTGGATCTTTGGCGAGCGTCTGCACGACCAGGAGAGAGGCTGGTTCCCCAGCAACATGACTGAGGAGATCTTGAATCCCAAGATCCGGTCCCAGAACCTCAAAGAGTGTTTCCGTGTCCATAAGATGGACGACCCTCAGCGCAGCCAGAATAAGGACCGCAGGAAGCTGGGCAGCCGAAATCGGCAATGACCCCCGGCCCCCAGCCTGGCGGGGATGCGGGTGAACCCCGATGGATGGTGGAGGGGCTCTGGGGAAGGCCAGTGCCTCCCCAGGCGCAGGGGTGACCGGGGCGCCCAGTGCAGGAGCCACCCCGGCCCTCGTCCCTGCCACGTGGTGCGTGCTCGCGTGTCCTGGCCCCTCACTCCCACGCTGGAGGAGGGGAGCCCACGTGTCTGCTCTGCTGCATCTGTAAACGGGAAAGTATATTTTAAACAGTATTACACCATCACTCCCTCCGGGCTCTTAGAGGGGGTGGCGGGGGTTGGCATGCTCCGGGGGCCTCCCCAGGCCCTGGAAGAGGCCCCAGACCCAGGATGTCCTTGGCTGAGGGCAGGTGCGAAGGTGATGATTGTCATTACCCCCTGCACGTGCCCTGTCTTCCCCAGAAGCTGTCAGAATCCACCAGGCGCGCAGGTGGACCACCCCTGCCCAGTGAGCTTGATGGGCAGCCCTTGGTCGTGATTCAAAGAACTGAGGGACCAACCGCCTCTGTCCACCCCCTCCCCAAGCCTCGCCAGCCTCTGGCTGCACGGCCAGGCCCTGCCTCCTGGCAGGCCTACCAGAGCTTGGCTGAGGGCCCATGCGTCTCTGGCTCCCTGACAGGCTGGATGTAACTTGTGTCTCTGACCCTTTAGGAGCCCAGGTGTTGTAAGGAATGACTTGGTCACTGCATTCTGTATCGGTTATGGTTCCGAGAAAAGCAAATATCATTTTTGGCTGCATTAAAAGAAGCATCATGTACAAAATAAAGGAGGTGAAAGTCTACTCTTTATTGCCCTGGGTGCACACAGGAATCAGGTGTTTGCTTCTGCACAGGGAGAGGGGAGCCCCCTTCAAGGTCAGTGGAGGAGGCGTGTCCAGGGAGGGGGATGAGGAGGCTTTGGGTGAAGGGGGAAGCTGCCGGGCTTGGGGCCTCAGGATGGAAGTGGATTGGGGCCTCCACTAGTGGAAGGACTTCAGAAACAGAAGAAGACTTCTGAGGGAGTTGGGGATGCCCTTCTGCTGCAGTGGAAGCGAGAAGGCAGGTTGGAGAGACCATGGCGGGACTGCAGTCGTCCCACAGGAGCTGACCACTGGGCGTGGGGCTGGGCTTCCTACCTGGCCAGTCACTGGCCTGGACCATTCCTCCTGCCTTCCTAGAAGTAGCCCGTTACCCTGAGGCTGCAGCTCCTGCCCCAGCCCAGCTGGCCCTCAGAGCTACCCCCGACCCCGACCCCTCCCTTCAGTCCTGGAACGTGGAGGCCCCTGACTCTGACCCCACCCTGCCCTTCCTGCCTGGGACACCCTCTTTCTTCCAGGAGATGTTAGAAGCCCACGATTCAGATCAAGCGGCACTTGGTAGCATCTTCCCACAGGCCGCAGCACTGCTCTCGGTGTCTTCAGACCTCAGATCCTTTGAGAACTGAGTGGATCCCTGGAAGATGCATTCATGTGCAACACACGGGTTCAGCTGGAGAGGGACCCCCGTCCCAGTAAGGGACGCCTCTGTGCTGCACCCCAGCAAGCAGTGCCTACCCCTGAGTCTCCCAGGAGTAGGGGGAGGGGGAGATGGGCCGTTTCTGAGCCCCACGCTGCTCCTGGGGTGGGGGTCAGGGGAGGAAGGGTGGGAGGTGGCCGCTGGTCCTGGCCGTGGTCCAGCTTTTCTTTTTGAAGCTGAGAAACAGCATCCTGACCTGGATCATCCGTTGTAATGAGGGCTTTGGCTGCTGGAGGTTATGTGAATGGAAATAATTTAAACAGTTTCATGAAAACTGGTCAGTTTTATAGCAGGCCTTCGCAAGCAGAAAGTTTTAACCCCTGATGTGTTTGGGGAGTGTGTGTGGGCACCGCGTGCGCCCATCTGGAGTGTCCAGGAGGAGGAAACTGGTCTTAGCTGGAACAGGTGTAGCCAGGAGCTCAGGGACACCAAGGAGGCCGAGGCAGCTGCTGGAGACGGGGGTGAAAAACAGCAGGAGGAGGAGCGCCCCCTCCACCAGGCCCCACCCGTGGGGTCTTCCCAGCCGCCCATCAGGGGCGTTTGCAGACAGTCCCCGCTCCGGGCCTTCCGGGACGGGGTTCTGACTCCCGTGCGGCGCCCAGAGCAGCTCAGCCGCTACTTTAAATCGCTCTGTTATAAAAGGTAGGCGTCCTGGGAAGTGTGGGAGACGGAGGGCAGGACCGAGGACGAGGACGGAGCGCCAGGACCGAGCTGGGGCAGGGGTGCAGGCTGGGCGGTTCCCACCCCTCCCTCAGCACCCTCCCGCCCCCAGCGCGGGGCTGAAGCGGGGAGAGTTGAGCTTGAAAAGGCTTTTTGTTTTCTTTCTGTAAACACACGAGCCGGCCGGCCGACCGTGTGGAGGCTCCCGCGACGCCCCTGTCACCCTCAGCCCGACCCCAGCCAGGCCTGGGAGGCCGCCTGGGACTGGGGGGCGACAGCGGGGTCGGGGAGCGGGGATAGGGCCACAGCTGCAGGGCTTCACCCCTCGGCGCGTCCTGCTCCTGGGGCTTCCTGGGGGAGAGGGGTCCCCAGGGGTCCTGAGGGTGCAGGGCTGGGGCTCCGAGCCCACAGATGGGGCCCTCGCCCCCAAATAACCCGGCCTCGGGTTGGGAGCGCCGACGGCCCTCCGCGCCAGCAGACAGCCTCACCCCGGCCCCACCCCCAGCCCTGGCCCCGCCTCCTCCCCGCCCCCGGCCCCGCCCCCCCCCCCCCCCCCCCCCCCCCCCCGCCCCCGGCCCCGCCTCTCCCCTCCGCCTCTCCCCCCACCCGCCCGCCAGCCCCGCGCACGCGCACGGCGCGCGCACTCGTGGCTCCCGCCGGCGCCCGAGCGCACGCGCACACAGGCGCACGTGTCGCGCGCTGTCGCCCGGCCCGCTCACCGCGCCCGCGCCGACACACTCGAGACACGGGGCGCGCAGGGGTGAGTCGGGCTGCGCCGCGTCTGGGCGCGGCCCCTTTATTCGCTTCAGGAGGCGGAAAACTTTCTCAGCGCGACGACCACGAGCGCCAGCACCACGCAGGTGGCCAGCAGGGCGGCGATGACGATGGCCGCGATGGCGCCGGGCCCCAGCGAGCCTGCGGAGGACGGAGGGCCGTCAGCCGCGGCCCCGGCGCCCTCTCCCCTCCCCGGCCTCCCGGCCCCGCCCGTACCGCCGCCCTGGTCCAGGCGCTCCCCCGCCGTGCTGTCCTCGGGGCCCGGCGCGGCCGTGGGGGCCGGGGGGCCGGTGGCCGCGGGCTCGTGGGCGGGGCTGGAGCTCTCCGGGGGGCCCTCTCCCGACGGCAGCTCGGCGGGCTCGTTCCACAGGGTGGGCGCGGGCTCCTGCGGGCCCTCGGCTGCAAGGCCAAGGACAGGCGCTGGGGGCCGGGCGGCAGGGACGTCGCCCCCGCGGTTACCAGCTGGGAGGTGGCGCCGTGCGCGAGGCGCTGGGGCTCTGCACTACCGCAGCCCCCCTATTTCACAGAGCCCCCCCACGGGGGCCAGGCTGCCTCCAGCCCAAGCGAGGACAGATTGATTGGGGTGGAGGCGGGGAGTAGGGACCAACGGGCCCTCTCAGAAAACGGCTGGGAGAGCCCTGGGCGGGCGGCAGAGGCAGGGCGACCCGGGCCACACCCAGGACCTCCGGCAGGTGCTTTGCCTCTCCCGGCAGAGCCTGGGGTCCCCCATCTGAACCGGGGAACTCTGTAGGCCTGGGGGAAGTGACACTTGTGAGGGTCCCCCTCCCCCTGCAGGGCAGACAGGTCAGCCTTCACCCTGGAGAAGAGGCCAGGAAAGTGAGGCAGTGCCCCTCCGGGAACTGGGGTCCCTGTCCCCCCCGCGCCCCGTGAGGAGCCACTGCCACAGGAGGTGGGACCTTGTGGGGGAGAGGAGAGGCCCACCCCACACCCCAAGGGCAGTGGCCCTAACCTGAGCAAAGCCATGCAGCCCACGAGACACAGGGTCTGGCACATGCACGTGTACACTCGCACACACATGCGTCTGAGGCTGAAAGGCCCAGGGGCCCCCGTATCCTAAGAAACTGTAATGCCAGCACATCGCTGCCTCCAGACAGCAGGCCCGAGGGGTGGGCAGGGGTGTCTGCGGTCAATATAAGGGGAGCCCCAGGAAAGGGTGGGCGGGGATCCCCCCCCCCACAAGCTGGGGCTCAGTCCGCTCATTAGTCCCTGGGCAGCTTTTCCTCAGGAGCCTTTCTCTGCTCGTGGGTTGGGGGTTAGCAGGGTTTGGGGTACCCAGGGGCAGGCTGACAGGTCTGCATGATACCCCTGCTCCGTACCCCACCCCAACCTCAGTCAGCCCATCCTTTCTCCAGGATCCTGGCCTGAGGAGACCCAGAGCAGCACCCCAATGCTGGGGGCCTCCCCACCCGAGCCCTGACCGTCAGCTTTGGTGGGGTCACGCCTGCCTGTGCCAAATCTCGATTGTGATCCAGGAATGCTCAGCCCCCCCCAGGAACCAGCCCCTAGAATGGGTCTAGTGGGTGTCACGACATGCCATCCTGCCTCCCGCTGCCCTACGGCTGGGACCGTGTGGCCCTGCTTCAGAGCCCAGAAAACCAAGGCTTAGCTGGGCCTTGGCGCTAGAGCTACTGGGGGTTTGAAGCCCCTAGACAATGCAGTAGTGGGTGTGCTTCCCAGGAAGCTCCCAGGAAAGTTGTGGTTTGGTTAACGCAGCCCTGGCTGGCCCACCTGCAAGTCCCGGGGGCACCTTTCACCCCTGCGGGCTCCAGCCCTGAGAGCTCCCCCTGGGCCCAGACAAGCCAGACCCACGCCCCGCCTCCAGGCTCACAGCTCCTGGAGAGGGGAATGCTCTGGGAAGACACAAAGGTGTTCCTGGGGCTTTCCTGCCAACAGTGTCCGCTTGAGCCAAATAGTAGGAGACATTAGCTAAACCCAGATTCGGGGTCAGTCTGAAAATACCTGGGTTTTCAGAAATGTCAAGCTCATGAAAAACAAAGGTTGAGGAATTATTCCAGATTAGAGACTAAGGAGATGTGACAACTGACTGCAACGTATGTTCCTGGAAGGGGGGTGGGGGCTGCTCTCTAAAGACATGATGGGGGTCCGTGGGTGAAGTGTGAGTGAGGCCGTGGTTTAGTTCTGTGTCGATGTTCATTTCCTGATGGGGATGACTGGTTCTTGTTTCGTAAGAATATCCTCGTTCTTGGGAGTATTTAGGGACAAAGGGGCCTGGTGGCTGCACTTGCCCTCAGAGGGCTCAGCATTCAGACAGATAGGTGGGTGTGCAGACAGGCAGGAAGACAGAAGAGCGAATGTGTTGGTCATTGTTGAAGCCGGGTAAATAGTCTACTGGAGCTCATTGGGGTATTCTCTCAACTTTTCTGTCAACTTAACATCTTTTCACGATAGAATTTCATGAAGTCCTGGGCTCCACAGGCCCTGCCCCTGCATCTCTGCCGGGTCAGCTCTGAGGCAGGCAGGGAGCAGTGTCACATTCCCCATGGCTTCCCAGGCTGGCGCCCCTTTTCAGAAACACCCCTGACAAGGAGGCCTCCTGGGGCGGAAGGCCCCTGCACCCAGTGGGGGAAACTGCCCTCTCGCAGGGCCCAAGGCTGAACCGCAGTGCTGGTGTCTGGGGGCCACTCTGGCCCCCCACCAACTGCGAAGACCACTCTGTGAGCAGGGGGCAAGTGACCCTGTCAGGCCTCCCTTGTCGCTGCCTGGAGGGCAGGAGTCTGCAGCGATGCTGCCACCTGGAAGGCTTCAGGCCCCAGCCGTGCTTGCCTCAGGCTCCCAGGGCGCTGGGCAGAGAAAAGGCCTGAGTGTCCCCACTGCTTGCCAGGCCCTGAGGTCCAGGGCTCTCGAACTGCCTGTCTCTCCAGATAAATGGACAAACCACTGGCCCCCACTTGCTCACCACACAGCCAAGACAGAGGCAGGCAGGCACCTCCCTGTCCCACCACTGCCAGCCAAAGCTCACCTCCAACTGCCAGGCACCTGGCCAGGAAGCCGCCTCTGGACCACCGGGTACCTGGCCCAGCCGACCTGGGCAGTGTCTGGGGAACCAGCCCAGAACTCAGGAGGAGGAGGGACAGGCCCCACTGCCCATAAGAGGGCAGGGACTCACTCCCTGGAACCAGCCAGGCCCAGGTGAGCAGGCCCCCTCTGCTGTTAGCTGGAGTCTGGGAGCATCTCGGGCCCGTCTGAGTGGGCACTCGGGGGGCACACCCAGGCCTTCTCTCCATCTGTCCCAGTGACCCAGCCTCCCTCTCCTGCTCCCCCAGAAGCCTGAACCCTCCCAGCCAGACACACTGGCCCAGGCCGCCTTGTCCCTGCTGCACACACCCCACTCCGGCCCCTCTTCCAAGACCCAGCCAGTCCCTGAACCTTCAAGGGGCTAGACCCATGGGCTTCCAAATCAAGAGGGCTGCATCCAAACCCTGGCTCCATCACGCCTCACCCGGGACCCAGCAGACTTTCGCCCCCCAACTTTACTTCCTGACCAGGGAAACGGGTTGGACCATGCCTCTCTCAGCCCACACCAGTTGGTAACTGTAGCTCTCATCGCCATCGCCAGCTGCTACCTGGGCCCTGATGGCCCCTCTGCCCTGGGCGACAGGGCAGGACACAGGCCAGGCCACTCCGTGTGCTGTGCATCTGCTGCAGCTGACTGTCACAGGAGACCCTCGAGGGCTGGTCCAGGACTCATGTGCACCCAAGGAGCCAGGGCCCCAGGGGCCAGCCAGCTCCCTGCAGCCCATGCGGGGGCCCCAGTGCATGCACAGGCTAGAACTGTAGCCTGGCCTCATCCACGAGCCTCCAGCAGAGGAGGCACAGCCGCCGGGGAGGCCAAAGCATTGTCTTAGCCTCATCTCCGTGTCTGCATTTTCTCAATTTGCTGTGGTCAGAGGGGGAGACAAAGCTTACAGACAATAACCCACCCACTCCCAGAATCCATTGGGGGAGCTGTGGACAGAGATGGATGTCAGGGAGTGTGCCAGCATCAGGCCTCGTCTAGGATGGGGGAGATGGGGCAGGAAATGCCAGGCAGAGGGCCGCGTGAGCAAAGGCATGGCGGATGGTCCTCTGGGCACGGAAGGCGGGCAGTGAGCTGGCCGCAGGGACGCTACGTGAGGACAGAGAAGGAGTAGGATTGAGGAGGACTGATGATGACACTCCAACTCCAAGGACCAGAGTAAGCAACGTCCTGCGACTCCGAGCTCTGACGGAGGAAACGAGGAGAAGAGCGGGGGGCCTTGTGACAGCTCCCAGGCCAGGGCACCACGGGCTCTCCCCCAGCCACAACGCGCCAGCCGCCCTGCCTTTCGGTAAATAAGTTTGTTTAACGCTCACTCTGACCACAGGGCCCCGAGGCCAGGCGCCCGTGCTCACAGACGGTCTTTGTGCGGGCCATGAAGGGCCTTTTCATCCCCACCCTGGCCTCCCGCCCGCTCAACCTGGCCTGCTCCCCCCGCCCCAGTAGCCCGGCCACAGGAGACCAGCAGGGAGGGCAGCAGGTCGGGCCTGGCCCTCAGCCACAGGGCCGCTCCTTCCCGGCCTGCCTGCTCCGGGCCCCCATCCGCCGAGCAGCCGGCAGGGGCTGCCAGCCTGGGACACACCTGCTCAGAGCCTCCAGCCCAGGCGGGGTGGCCCAAGTCCTCCCAAGCGCCCTCCCTCCCAGAAGGGCAGGAAGAATGACAGCCAGCCGGAGCCCCAAAGGCTCCGGGGTGGAGTTGGCCTGCCTGCTCTCGGTGGGACACATGGAGGGGGGTGAGGCCAGGCGTGGTCCCGCGACGCCAAACACGAGGCTGTCCCCAGGCATTCCTGTGGCGGCAGACGAAGCCCGCCCACCCAGGCTGTGTACGCACAGACTGATCCAGGGCCTCTGGCCGGCGGCCCGGCTGGGAGAGCTGGCTGCTCAGGGAGAGAGAGACTGGACAGGAGCTGTCTGGGCAGCCCCAGACCCTGGCAGGCGGGCCAGCACCTCCACCTCCACCCACCTTGACCACCAGGAGGGAGAAGCATTTCACTGGGGAGCAGGTGGGGGAGCTGCAAGGATCACAGCCCCAGTGTGCCCACTCTAGAAGATGCCATCCTACACTTTAGGTCACTTCCCCAATTCCTGGGGCACCACGCCAGCCCCCTGGCTTGCCCAACTATCACCTCTCCCACCAGAAGAGAGGCTAGACACTTTTCCAGCCTTCATGCAGAGGCAGGTCTGCCCTGAGACCACCCTGCACCCAGCGGAGCGGCTGGGGATGTGTACACACATTCCCCTAACATTTACTGGGCACCGCCAGATGCCCGGCCCGGCCTGAAGGCTCCTGTCTCTGACCGTAGTAGGCCTGCAGTTCCCCTCGAGGGAGGCAGAGGCACAGGGAGGTTGAGAATCAGCCAGCAGGAGGCAGAGCTAGAAGCAAAGGCAGGCTGCAAGCTTCTTCCTGGGCATCTAGAGAGAGGCTGGCAGGCCCAGGGGCTCCTTCCCATGGCCCATTTCTTCCCGGTGTGTGAGCCTGCTTATGTGGCTGTCCCACCAGCCTCACACACACTCCCCTGAAGCCCATGCTGCAGAGAGGGTCTGCAGGGGGCCCCCACCCGCACGTTTCTTCAGCCCCGGAGGCCCCAGGGGCCCTGAAACACTTCTCCTTTGACCCACCTCATGGCCAACAGAAATGGCTTCCTTCCAGGAGAAAGACCTCTAGTGACCCGTCTGTGCCTTTTCTCTCTCAGGCTTCGAAGCCGGCCTGGGCCAGCCCCTCAGTGCAGAGCCGCCCAGGACTGGGGCTGAGGTCCCAGGAGCCTACCCTCCCCGCGTCTGTTGGGACCCTCCTTCTTGCCAAACCCTAGAGCCAGCTATTTTGGCTCCGGTGCAGAGCCTAAATCTAGCCTCCTCACGGGTTTGCGGAGGGGTCTAGGGCCCTGTACTCCCTCTGGACTTCTTCCCGAGATAGGAAGAGTACCTGGGTCTTCAGTCTTAGAGAACATTTCAGAAGACCAGCAGGGAAGGGCTTGCAGGGTTTGGAAAGTAAACAGCAGGTCTCTGAGGCCTTCTGTCCAGGGGCCTGGGGCCTCTGGCCCCTCAGCCACTTGCCCTGTGCCTGATGCCCCCTACTGACTCCCAGATGCAGAAGCCTTCAGATTTTAGGTGCTGGAGTCATTCCCATGTCCCCCAGGCAGCCAACGTCCCTGGCCCTGCTCCCCACATCGCCCTCCTACTTCAAAGGCCATGGTCCCCATGGCTCACGACTCCTCGAGACATCCAACACAGCTCCTAGCAGCCCTTCTCAGGGGAGCCCTCCCCAGAATCACCCCAAATGGCCACCCTGTCTCCTGTGAAGGGCTTCCGCCCAGCGGGCACTGGAGAATCTGGCCCAAGGTGCTTCTTGGCCCCAGGAGGCTGGTGGCAGCAAAGTGGAGGGAGCACCCTTACCTGTGAGCACCGCAGGGGCCAGGACCCCGGAGAGGAGCAGCAGCGCCATGCGCAGGGCCAGACAGAGAGCCATCCTGGCCCGGAGTGAGTGAGGCAGGCGAGCGGGATGCTCCGAGGACTGAGCTGGTAAACTTGAGGGCGGCGGGCGAGAGGTATCAAAGGGCTGGGAAGGGTTTTCATCAATGCAAACTCTGTCCTCCTGGGACACCGCGCCCGCCCCCCACACACACAAGCACACACGCGCGCGCGCGCACACACACACACACACACACACAGAGCAAAGCTTACAGAACGGACCGCTTTCCTGAACTCCAGAGCAGCCCCACCCTCGGAGAGGGAAAGAGGAAATTGCTCCCTTTCGCTCTCTTCTCTCCTCTCTCTCTCTCACACATTCACACACACACACAAGCACACACTCACTCCTGGGCCACTGGAAGTGAGAGATTCTCAAACCTCCACGTCCAAGTTTCACCCAGGGAACTTGAAAAGTTGAAATGTCTCCGGCACTATTTCAGTGGGTCGTGGATGGGCCCAGGAATCTGCATCTTATTGCCCGTGGCCCAGGCTCGGGATGCCTGGCCCTAGGCGGTCAGCCTGAGCGCCCAGCTCTGCTCACTTGTGGGCTCTGGAGGCCCGGCTGGGAGTGGGCGCTCAACAGCGCTCATTCAAGAAGCACTTTTATAGCAGTTTCAGTCCAAACCCTCTGGCAGCTCTAGGCTCTTTCCAGAAAAGCCCATGTGATGAAACGCCCTGTGTCTCTTCTTGCTCTCTGTTCTCCTGGATGCCTAAGACTTGAAATACCCACCATGTGCTCATGACATGTGCTTCCAGCCCAGGCCGGCCCAGAACATGAGCCCCACTGCCCACGCCCCCCCGACAGCTCCACAGGTGTCTAACGAGATCTCCAACTCAACGTGTCCAAAAAAGACCTGGGCTCCCCCCCTCCCCAGTCCTGCTCAGTCAATGGAACCCCAGTCCCCCACCTTCCAGATGTCCTAGTCACACCATTAAAAGTCACCCAAAGTCTCTCTCTTTCCTTACTCCCCACGTCTAATCGCTCAGAAACTACGGCCAACACCCTCTACTTCACACCCTTCGTGGTTTCCCACTGCTCCTAGGAAAAAAAAAAAACCTAACGGCTTGCACTTGGCCCTGCTCACCTTCCCCCTACTGCTCACTATGCTCTGGGCCACTGGCCTTGACTAGGTTCCTCCAACACACCAAACTGGCTCCTGCCTCAGGGCCTTTGCACTTGCTGTCCCCACTCAGAGAAAGCAGTCCCTCAGCTCATTATGTGGCTACCTCCTTATCACCATTCAGGTCTCAGCTCTGGTCAGTCAGACCTCCATCCACTCATCACATCACTTTTAATTTCTTCTTAGTGCTTATATTTATATGAAACTCTCATTTCTTTCTTTTCGTTGTCAATTTTTTTTTTTTTTTGAGGAAGATTAGCCGTGAGCTAACTACTGCCAGTCCTTTTTTTTTTTTTTTTTTTTTTTTTTGCTGAGGAAGCCTGGCCCTGAGCTAACATCTGTGCCCATCTTCCTCTACTTTATACGTGGGACACCTACCCAGCATGGCTTTTGCCAAGTGGTGCCATGTCCGCACCCGGGATCCGAACTGGCAAACCCCAGGCCACCGAGAAGTGGAACGTGCAAACTTAACCACTGTGCCACTGGGCCGGCCCCTCATTGTTAATTTTTTGAGGGACAACATATACTGTGAAGTGCACAGATCTTATGTTTGCAGCTTCGCGAACTTTCATACATGTACACACCTGTGTAAACACAACCCAGTCTAGAGAGAACATTGCCAGCACACCAGCAGCACCCTCCTGCCCCTCCCCAGTCAGTTCCCTCAAAGTGCCATTCTGTCTCCCATCACCACAAATGAGTTTGCCCACTCTTGAACTTCACATAAGTGGAATCATATGATATGCACTCTTGTCTGAGATTCCGCCTCACTGTCGCACGTAGCAGTGGCTCATTCGTTTTCCTTGCCGAATACTACTCAGTTGTATGAATATGCCACATCTTATCCATTCTTTTATCCTCTTTGTCCATTTATTTAACCATGTCATTGGGGTTATTTCCAGGTCTGAACTTTTATTCAGCTGCTATGAGTATTCTTGTACCTGTCTTTTGGTGGACATACACACTAATTCCTCTTGGTTATATATCTAAAGAGAGAATTGCTAGGTCAGAGAGTAGGTATAGTGTTTGGATTCTGTAGATGCTGCCAAGCAGTTTTGCACGGTGTTTGTTCCAATTTATACTCTCATCAGCTGTATGAGACTTCCAGTTCCTCCACTTATCAATATCACTATCTGGCATTGCCTGTTTATTTCCGGTTGTTCCAATAGGTCTGTAGTGGTGTCTCATTGTGGTTGCATTTCCATGACTAATAAAGCTGGACACCTTTTCATGTTTATGGACACAAGAATATCCTCTCGTGAAGGGTCTGCTCAATTTTTTTGCCTCTACATTAGGGTGGAATCTCTTTTTACATTTATTTTTACAAGTTGTGTATCCCAGATAAAAAACCTTTGTCAGAGAGATGTAATGGTGCCTTTAGATGAAGCGTTCATTGGTTGTCTGTCTGTCCCCACCGTGTGTCCTGTAAGTCCCAGGACTGCAGGGGCTGTGTTTTGCTCACTGATGCATTTCCAGAACCTAGCATCATGCCCAGCACACAGCAGGAACTTAAGGTTTGGATTCAATCAGTTGGGGTTTCTGGGATAGATTTAACATTGAGCATCTTCTTACTTGCTCAGTTCATTTGCTGGTGCTGCTGGTTTGCTCTCTGTCTCCCACCCTCACCTTTCTGTGCCCAGCAATGTAATGTAGCAACATAATGTAGAGTCAGAGCCACAAATCACACTCCTGAGACCTGCTTTCCAGCTGACTTCCTGTTAGCATCTGCCAGTGGGAGGCACTGGAAGGTGGGAGGGAAGAAGTGACTCTCTTTTTGCTTCAGATTTCTGACAGCATCTCTGGCAGTAGCAGCAGCACTGGCTACAATAACATCAATGACAAAGGGTCAGGTGGTGGTGGCTCAGGGGTGCCACAGAGGGCTGGAAGTGCTGGCTCCTGGATCCTCATCAGGCAGCTGAATGCCAACCCCACGAGCTTAGTGGACAGTGCTCTGGCCTCAGAGCTTCTGCCCTTCTAGCCCAGGCTGGTGTCAGTTTCTGAGTCCCCTTACCTTCTCTCTTTTGCTCCTTCAGTCCTTTAAACAGCCTTATGACAAATTCCTATATTCAATCTCTTCTGTCTGAAATACCTAGAGTGAACTCTGTTTCCTAGTCAGACACTGACCAATACAGTGCTTAGCACCTGGAACAGTCCCAGGAAACAGACCCTGAGAGAGATGTTTCTGAGTTTGGTTTGCCACCCTATTTGAGCCTGAATGCAGGGAAGAACCCACTGGCAGAGGAAAATGAGATCTGGTAACACATGGCATGCCATACGGTAGGACTTGTGGTTGTTTAGCATGAAGTGCCTATTGAAGACAAGGCTTAAAGGACCGAGTAGATGCTCTACTTGATGTTTAAGTAGTGATGACGATCAAAAGGAAAGGGAAGTGCACTGGCTGCTTTTTATTGCACTGGGTGCTCCTGCAAAACAACTACTTCAAGGCTTTAAATTCTAAGGTCAAGGTATGATCAGAGAACTAGAGCATTTCTTTGGCACTCTTTAAAAAAATCTCTCCTATTTCTTGTAGATACAGGGCATAAATTCAGCTCCCAAATTTGCACAGGCTACAGAATTACAGTCTTAAATTTGAATTCACAGCCATGCAATTCTCTCAGGTGAAATTTATGGCACTGATTGGGAAGGAGTGAGACCTTGAGGTTTGGAATGAGGATATTTGGGTAGACTCAAACCAACCTGAGAGTCTTCTACTCACAAATCCTCTCTTGCAGAAGCAGCAGGCTCTTCTCCTCTGTCTGAAGACAATAGCCTTTTCTGGTCTGAATAATAAATAAACTCATCTGGTAGGTTCCCTTGCAAGAGGATGCCTGCTCTCAAGACCCACCCTGACAAACCCTCATTGCCTCCATATCCATGACTAGAGTCAAGGCAACAAGTACCAAGTCTGACCCGGGAGGAAACAAGTACACACTAAAACAATTGCCAATTCATGCTAGCAATAAATTAGTAAGAGAATACTAAGTAAGATTTTGCTAATTTATATTAATAGAAACCTGGAGGATATGTGTAGGAATGAATTCTAAGGTGTTAGACTAAAGGGATATGATGTGATGTGACATTAGATCAGGCCGGATGCATCCACAGGGGTGTGCTTAGTGGATCTTCTGAACTCAGTGTTTTAGCTTAAGTATCCAGAAGCAGCTCTAACAGTTTGGCTGGTTGACTCACACCTAGCTCAAGAGCAGCCTAGATTCAATAAGACTAAGAAGCCGGCTGTAATGAAAAGCAGGGAAGCCAAAGACTTAGGAAAGAAGGAATGTTCAAATGCATTTATCTTAGGTGACTCCCACCTTCCCCACCCCTACCAAGTCTTCAGTAGGCCCCAAAGCACACTCCCTTCACAGAGGCATTGAGAGAGGCGCTGGTAGGAGAAGATGAGCATCTTTGAAAAGATATGTGGTGTGTGTTCTCTTTGGCCAGGGCTGATGATGGGATCACTGATTTCAATGGGAACAAAGTGATTCTAAAGCAGCAGAGGCCAAGTGGCAGCAGTGAACTCTCAAAGACAAGGTGGATGCAAATACTGCAATGAACGGCAAACACAAAGTGGCCATCAGAATGTTTTGACCCCAGGAATAAAATAGATGGGCAGCTTACTAATGCATTACTTGATATACAAAAAGGGACAAATGAGCAGAAATCTGTACTTACTACAATGGAATGTCAAGCTTCTCACCTAGTTCCCAGACCCAGAATCTCTTGACAGGAAGGGAGGAGACATTTCATTAAGGACTCTGCAAGACGGCCACAAGTATAAACAGTAAATCTTCCTCCCAATCTTCCCCAAAGGTATTGGCAGCCATACCCCAGGGCAGCTGTGCGCTGGGAAAAGGAAGATACCCATATCTTCAGGCATCACTGGACTCGGGCTCTCTGTTGACACTCATCTCTGGATACCCAGAATGCCACTGTGTTCACCAATCAAAGTGAGAGCTTATGGAAGTCAAGTGATAGATGGAGTTTTGGCCTGAATCCACCTCAGTGGATGTGAAGTAGGGAGGGGCAGGCTGCCAAGGGGCAGGAGTGGGCGACTGAGAACCCATCCTGGGAGGGCAGAACCATGTGTAAGCCAAGGTTCCAAGCCCCTGATGCATGCCCCATTATTCCATCAGACTTCACTTATAAAAGACAAATTCAAGGTAAAACTATTAAGAAATTCAAGACAGTAAATTCTATTTCAAATGACTAATAAACCACAGTAAAGCAAGAAAAATGGCAATGCACTCTCAGACCAAAGTCTAAATTACAAAGATTATCTGCATGATTAAGTTTGTACATATGTGTTTTTGTAATGTTGGAGGTGTATCTTTAAACAAATAGTGAATTCCAGTTAGAAAGTTTGTTTTTCACAGTAAGATGGGTTACCAATTATTAAACCACCTTGGTGTATTCTAGGATTGAGCAAATAAGGAAATATATTTAGGATAATGGGAGATTTTTGATCGGTTTCTGAACACCATTCCCCACTAAAAGCAACCAAGGCTCCCTGGAGAAATGGCTAATTCCAAATCTTGGAAAGGAGTAGTAGATGATGAGTCTAGAATATCTCATGCCAAGGCAAGGAAGTGCTCAAGGAATGATGGGGATATGGCAAAAGGACGCAGAAGCCAACTGGGAGGGGCTCCAAATGGACAATTTGTGCACTAAAAATAGTATCAGATTATAACCTATAATGTGTGCACTTGGGTGTGTGTGTGTAAAGCTCTTCCTTATGGTAGAATGCTAATAAATGTAAAAGCAAAGGCTGGCAAACACGTTAGTAACTGTTCAAGCAAGAATCATCAATGGCTCCTCTAACTAGTGGATCAAAGTTTGATAAGGAACTGGATATTTA